GCTGGGTCACTTTGCCCTCCAGCTAATGTCTACTGCTACTTGCTCGGTTGCTGATAAACATCTTTTCTGTAGGTGGTAGATGATAATGTTTTACAACAAAAAATAATGTCTTTAGGGATTGAAAATACGTTATGTTTTTAGGTGCATAACTTTGCTTGAAGTCTGATGAATGCTATGTGAAACTAGGCAGGAACAAAAAGCATTAAACGTCTCCCCACATCTCTAATCTGCATACACTTTAAAAAGAGGTAGGCAGCAGCTGATTAGCTGCTGAGTTGAAGCTGAAGAGGTTTGATTGACCTTCTTCAAACTGCTGATGCCAAAAAGAACAAAGCTGCCACCCAGTTTGACCCTGAGAGCAGGGCGCAGCCAGGCAGGACAAACTAAAAATCTTTACTCCTGTCAGTTGAAATCTGCTTCTCTGTGTTCGGAAACAAACTAAGGTCAAGTCTGACTGCATGCACATTTGCTGTGAGGTCAGGGTGGGGAGTTGTGTACAGATCATTTCAGAAATATTTGGTGTTCATTCCGAGGAAGTGGAGGGACCTGAGAGAAACTTATGACCTGGTAGAGATGATGAAATCAAAGGAGTCTAGTGAGTCTATAGCCTCAATCAAACCCATAAAGATGATCTCACAGTGCATGTTTCTTTCCTCTTTTTCTCTTACTTTCTTTTATTCCTACACAGTTCTCTTAAGGTTCCACCATTAAGAGAACTGTATTTCAAGAAAATTGAATTATGGCTGTGACATTACCTTTTGTTCCATGCTGTTCTATATTTGCTGTTATGTTTGGGACCACTGACCTTCCTTGTTGGACATATGGCTTTACTTTTGACTCGAGAAACCCTTAGTTCCCTGGGGACTTGTTGCTCATCTCACTGGCTTGTACGTTGCCCAAATACTTTAGCTGCAAAACAAGCCTGATATGAGGTTATTTTTAGGACGAAGAAACTTTCTCCTTCAAGCCTTGAGAGCATGATATTTATATTCAGTCTTCTTCTGTTTGTCCTTTCATAAACTTTATAATTGAACCTGTTATTCATGCCTGTAGCATCTGAGACTGAACTAGAACACACACTCCTGCAACGATTGGAAGCTGTCTGATGTGTTTTCTACTTTCTTTGAAATGTCAGGTTTTAAATATTTGAAAATAGCCTTATAACACTTCAAAGACTGATAGGAAGGCACCTGTATTGTCCAGATTAGCAAAACAAAGCTGCAGCTTTGTTAGAGATTATAATCTATCAATCAAAATATTTGATCTGCAGATCCTGGCTGTTACTTTCTCTCCATAATCCTTTGGAAGCACTCTGGGTCGACATTTTAACCTGACTGTATATGTAAAGTAAAAGCGGCTTAACAACTTGATGTTAATAGGGTCTAAAGTGAAGGTGTGTGTTGTTTCAGCCTTTAATTCACATCTCATGCTCAGTGTGACATTCCTGGAGCTCAAACACTCTTTCCTTCCAGTCAGTGATGATAACCCTTTGCACAGCCATGTTTTCCTTTGTCTTAATGTCAAAAGGTTTTTAGGTAAAGATGTCATTTCTTTCTGTTTTCTTTCCTTGTGATGTTTTACAGTGGTTGTGATCAGTAGCATTTTCAGGCTTTTTGAATGTCTTTTAATCTTTCTCTTTGAACTGTGGTTGTATTTTTTTCAATCATTTTCAGTCTTTGAAGTTTACTTTTTAAGTTTTTAAACCACTTCACTTTTACAACAGCTCCATGTTTTGTTTTTAAAATTGAACTTGTATATTTAGATGTTGAGTATTTGAACAATTATAGGAGTCTGTTTTGTAACAATTATAAGAAAATATTCAAGACAATCCAGTAGCATTGCCCCACATTGAAGAATAGAAACCAAACTGTTTAATTTGATCTTTTTAAACAAAATGTGATCTATTTCTCTCAGACTGGCTGGAGAATCCAAAATGACAAGCTGGGAGCTGCAGAAAGGTTTTATTTGTTGCTCTTACTAAACAACAGATGGTGACAGACAGCCACTGTCCTTCTCAAATACCAGGTGAAGATGACAAGAAGTAACATGAGAGAAAATTTGTATGAGAGTCATTATTCACATAGCTTGTGACTTTTCCGCTCAGTTTCCCTCGAAATTGAGCTTCCCTGAATGTTGTTGTTTGTCTTCATTTAAGCATAAACTGTCAGCTAGATCATTCACCCGAGAACAAATCAAGAGCATCTCATTATATCTGCAAGCTTCAGGAGATGTTAACATTTCTGTTGAGCTTGTTTTGGGGTGTTTTTCCTGAAAATATTTTTGATCAGAAACTGGTTTTAGATGAGAAGATGCCAGAAACAGGTCAGTGGTTTGTCATAGGCTACATTTATATTCTAATCTTTCCAGCAGGTAGGGCGAAACTCACAAACGTACATAATTTACTCAGAGATAGAGGACCGGAGGATAAATCATTGACCATGAGAGCAGAGTTAGTCATTTCATGCAGCCTATGGGCTTTAGTGGGCTTTAGTCAAAGGCAGTTTCTTCATCTCTGAAACAGAAGAAAAAAATGAAAACATATCTGATGAATATACACCTGCAGCTCCACATTAGGTTAAAAAGGTTCTTTACCTAGGCATGAGGTGGAATCGTAAAATCTGAGGAGTCCTTCTAAAAACTTTTTTAGCATGGATTCTTAGCATTTTTTTCCCCCCTACAGATCTGTGACTTTTAAAGAGTTTAGATGATCACAGGGAGTATCAGCCTCTCTCCAAACAGCTTGACCTCATCGGAGTCAGCCAGGTGTGAAGAGAAAACCTTCTGGATGCCCAAAGAGCCTCATTCACATCTAATCCTCTGCAGGCTTGAAGGTCACGTCCTCTGCTGTAACAGAGCTGGATGTTAGAGGACTCCGACCTGCGGTGTTAATCATTCTGTCGAAACACACCTGAGAAGCAGGCCAGACTTTCAACAAAGTCTGGCGATAAAAGATTCTTCTGGGATGAAAGTTGAACAAAATTTTGAGGCTGCTGTTTGCCTTTACAGACTTTTAGCACATAAATGAGCAGCGGATATTTTGCAATGAATCTTTTATTTTAAACTGCTGTAGAATGTGAAGGAAAGAAATTGATAAACAGCAAAGAAATTTATTTTATTATTAATCAAATTATACATTTTTTTATGTAGATAATCATATTTAGCGATTAAATATAATAAGTGGAAATATGTACCACAATACTTGATTGCTAATGCCTATATTAATCTGAATTGGAACCAGGTTGCACACAACCCAGATATGGAGAAATAACCAGAATGCTGCCCAGCTTTATATAAAAACAAATTCAAGGACTATGGATGTATTTGATGAAAAGCCTGATGTGTATACATGCTTTGATTGTTATAAATTGTTCTGTTACCTCTCCCAAGGCTTTCTGAGAAAACATTTTAATCACTTTTTTTTTACAATGAAAATCTATCACTCTGTTTTGACCCGAACCATTCAGATCGCAAAGTCATCCTTTAACAGAAAAAGCTGATTGGTTGTTGTCAGGGTCGGCACTAAACTTTTTCCTTGCTGTTACTGCCCATTTGTAGAGACACCATGTTCCTGTTTCCAACATGTCTCTTCCCTTTGTGTAATTCTTTGGTCAGGCTTCAGGGAAGATTAAATTAGGTTTGACAACAGGCATCATATCTGCAGAAGAAATGGATGGCACATAGCTACACTTCTGCCAGTCTCTTAAAACAACATGTGAAGCCAATTATACCACAGTCGTCCAGTTTTTAGGACTGTGTGCATCCATCTGATCTGAAGGTGCAACACTGTGATCCCCAGACAGGAAGTGGGAGCTTTTCACCTTCCCATATCTTTGTACCCTGTAATCACATTGCAGCAGGAAACGACAGTGGACTTTATTTTTATCCACTCATCAGCACTTGCTTTCAAGCACCTCTGCCTTCCTCCTTCAAAGCTACATCCTAATTGGTACTTGCTGTGGTAGAGGGAACAAAAAAAGCAACAAAAAAAACAAAAAAAACTGTATGTTTGGATTTCTCACCAAGCAGAGTAAGGAACATTTATTTTTATTTAGAACTTTATATTTTTCTCTATTATTTTCATTAACCACTTGAATAGCAGTTCATTTACATTCACCTGAGAAATTACGAATAGCAGGAGATACTTGATGTCTTCAGAATTATCCTAGAAACAATCAGAATCAACTTAGTGAACACAAACAAGGTTTTGCTTTTTCTCTGAAATAACACATTTAAATCTAAATATATACATAAAAAGAACTATTTTTTTTCTTTCTTGTAAAAATGCATGCATACTTTGTTTTTACAAAAGAGGAAGGCAAGGTCAAATCTGTGCAAATTTGCACAGTATCAGTCTGGGGACTATTTATCCATCAGACAGACAGATGGTGGCTTGTTTTACAAATGAAGTTCTGTAGTGCTAAACTCTAAACAGTGAGTATCCAGGATGTGTGGGGTCTGCAGTGATATAATCCATCCTTTTCCTGAGAGAGGTGGGGTACACCCTGGACAGGTCACCAGTCTGTCGCAGGGCAGTCCTGTATGATGCTAACCGTAAATGATCCTTTGAGAGGAAGTTGAGATTGAGTCCATTCACTCTCAATTTCGCAGGACTTTTTTCCCCAAAACACCCTGCGAGAGTAATGTGTAACATTGCCCAACAATCCAGGAGCAATTTGGGAAGACGTACATTTTCTAGCTCTGTTTCACAACCCAAATGTGATAATTCACTTGTTGATGAAAACATTCCAGGGATATTTCAACGAAGATTGATGGATCTACCCACCGGAGAACCTATTGATGGCTTAACATTACTTATAAAAGGACTTATTAAAGACCTGGAAACTTATGAAGAGTTTATACCTGGAGTTAAATTTTACATGTTGAAATGAGCAAAACATGAAACGTTTCAACTTTGTCCTTCAGGCCACTAATTTATTCAAAGAAGGGAATAATTAAGCAATGCAAATACATCTGGAAAATAAAGTCTGAAAAAACACCAGTTGGATTTTATAGGCACTGCTTTATTTTGTCACAGTGTATTGAGTTAATAGTCACAATACAACATAAGCAAGATTTACAGAGAATGATTTCGCACACAGTTATATGACCGACGCTTTTATATGGCTTGAGTTTTATGAGACTTTTAGCTCTTTACAGATCATTAGTGCAATGAATGATCAAGTTTCTGAAGATGCTGGGCTGACAATTAGAGCGTTTAATTTTTTTTTTACAACACTTGCAAACAGGAATATGAAACAAATGTCATGATATGCTGGAGTTTCAGAGTAGCTTTTAAATACATTTAAAAACTTTCAGCTGGCAGTCATCATTTATACAGTTTTTAAAGCCTGACATGGAGATGGAAGCTTGTTTTTTTAAGCCAAGGCAAAGCGGAAATAGAGTTGCAAAGCAAAAGCTAATTTCACAGTACAACAACAAATTTGATTTTATTGTGATTTCAAACAAGTTGGTCATATTGATGTAATATGTTTTCATTTAGTTGTAGTCTAATTTAGATTATACCTTTACATCATTACCATTGAAGTTTGGATTATGTCTCATAATCCAATTAATGTTAGAGAAGAGTTTCTGCAATGTAATCAGAAATATCTTAGTGCATTATGATGAGAAGACTTAAGAATATTAGTTACATTTCTACAATTTATTTGAACAGTTTCTGCTGCAAATAGTAGGAGATTTGATTTGTTTTATTATTTATCAATTTAAAGATTGTAAAATTTACACAACAGCAAAATCAAGGACTAAGGCTCTGCGGAGATCCTGAAAATGCTCATTAAGTTGTATTTTATCAGTTTTTAAATTACACGCCACCCTGACATCCATACAAAATTTAAACTCTTTACCATCTGCACATAAATACAGAATTTAATGCGTTGCCTGTGTTTATATAAGGTACATAGTGTCTGCTGTCAAGATCAGCATTAGCACCATCTGGACTATTTACCATCCAGTTACATTAACCCTATTGTGGAAATATTGTTTCTGTTTCTTGCATTTGTGAAATCTGATGGGATTTCTTATTATGTGTGCATCATTGTCTTAATTGAGAATTTCATACTATCTCTGGTGAACAAAGCTTGTATTTTTATTTTGATGCAATACCCAACAAAACAAAATAGCAAAGCTTATTCTATTTCCAGAAAACAACATTTATGTTGGATTCCCAATAAAATACAGCTGGCATTTATTTAAGTTGACATGACCTTGTTAGTTTTCTCTTTATCTCGTGGAAACATGGTCCTGTGACCTCTAGAAAACATCTCATTTCTTCTTGTCAAGAGAAACAAAGCTTTCTAGGAGCATTTTGTCTTATTTGGAGGAAACAAAGCTTGCATTGTCTTATCTCAATTAAATATCTGGTATTTTCCGGTAATCCACATTAAATAACATGTTTAATTTTGTGGTCCTCCTGAAATAAATGTCTTATTATTTCTCGTCAAAATAAGCTGTTTAGTTTTCGTCTCATTTAGAAGAAAAAATGCTGAAAAGACACTTGATTTAGATCTATACTATAATACAGAAATTAATTGTTCAGTATCAGATCCAGTTGAGGAGCATTTTCTGTCTGTCAGTGGATGATCTGTCCCTGCAGGCCATAACAACATTTTCAGGGTAATCAGTTGGCAGCATAATTGTCCTGGTTTCTGATATACAAACAATTATTTTATTTTGATTTCAAAGTAATTTATTCCTCTCATAAGAAAATAAGCTCTTTAAATGTGTAATAACTTGATAACATGACTGTATGTTGGCTAATATTGAATTATAAATTTCTTTGATAACAAAAGCAAAGATTATTTAATACAAGAGTTCATTTTTAGCAAAACCAGTGTAGTTTTTGCAGAATACTTGGTTCTGCACTTCATGAAAAATCACATTTTGCTACACTTAACTGTGTGAAAAAGTGTTCTGTAGATAAATATGAATAACACAACAAGCTTTAACTCAAACTAAGAAAATATCCCCTTGTGCAGTGGTAATATACTGCAGCCTGCTGCTGTACAGGACTGTTGTTAAGTCTGTGGAAGAAAATCAAAAGTATAAATCAAGTTCTGTGCTGCATGGATAAAGTATATATGCCTCATTTTTAGTGCAGGCTATTTAGTCAGTTTAGTATTAAAGCTTAAACCAAATAAAGTGCAATGGATGCAGCGAGTGACATGAAGAAAACATGGGATGAGACACAAACTTGTCCTTAAAGTTTAAACTGTATTTTTAATTTACTTTAGTTTAGATGCTCTTTTCCTGATTTGTCAACAGTCAGTTTATGTATCACATTAACTACTAGTTGGTGAGCAAATAACATATCTGTTTAATGAGTTGTGCAACATTCATTTTGACTAAATGAACTTGCAGTTTTCCTAAAACCATGTATGCTTGCATAGATGCCAGTACAATGTATCTGAAATGCAGATGATTTTTGGTGGCGGGAGAGAAATCTGGACTCTTCATCTATTTACTTCCACATAGCTCACCAACGTTTCCTGTGTAGATTATCCTTGGATTTTCTGTGTTGCAATAAACTGCCACAAATGCAACACATTATGGTTAACAAAGTCTATTTCTTTATCAAAGAAAACAATGATGATATTTGTTTAAGTCATAGTTACAAGCTTCCACAGATGATGGATGAACAAATGCCATCATCCACAAATAGTAGTGCTTTCCTGTTTTTAAAGGACATGACTCAAATTAATTTTTGTCATAAAACTTTAAATGAAAGTTTAAAATTGCTTATCTGGTCAGAAAAAAAGTGAAAATGCAGATTTATTTGCATCTTATGTCATTGTTAAAAATAATTTTTAGCTTATGTTGCTTTTAAGATGATCATAATTGGCCATTAAATGCCAATTTATAAAGTTTACAGGCATTTTATAGCTGCATATTTAAAATATTTTCTAAATATTTACAATAAATTATCATTAGCTTTAAGCAAATAATAAATTCTCACTTTTTGATAATAAAACAATTCATATTAACAAGGCTTGAAGTTCCATTACCATAGATAAATATGATTAGAGGTCATGTGCAACAGAAAATCCCTCATGACTTCTGAAAAAATGTTGGCTGGATTTTGGTTTATATAACTGTGACAACTGCTTGTCACCTTAGGATGTGTTTGTGGGGAAAATGAGACAAAATGTCACCTGAAACTTTTCATGGCTTGATATCCTCAATGTCTGCAATGACTGAACATCTTTTGAGTGTTGAGAGGATTTTCTTTTAAATCACAAAGTGGGAAAAACTGCAAATTAGTGTTTTACATTCTAAGATGTATGAATGCTTGAATAGCACTGAATGCATATGAGACAAAGCATAAAACGGCCTTCTTCTTGTGACCTAAACTTTTCCTCTCTCGAGGTACGTTTTATATGATAAAGGAGTAAACATTAAATTAATTTCAGAATGATGAAGAACTGAACTTCATCCTTCTGTTCTGCTGCCAGACTCTCTTCAAACTAAAATCAAAAGATGAATGAATGGAAGCTGTGTAATCTAGAACACCAAACTACAAGTTCATTGATGGAAATTTGTACATTTTTGAAGAAATTACACACTTTTTTAAAAATCCATGCATTTGAAGGAGAAAATTATCCATTCAGGTATCTATTCTCGTAGACAATCTGCTACTAAAAGCTGCCTGTAAAACTCTATTGCTGTGCTGAAGTATAGGATGATGTTATTGAGAAGTGCTTTAGATGCCACAGACCTTTACAAAATGATGTGCAGCTTTTTTCATGAACATCTTCGGTAAGAAAACAATCAATTTACAGCTGGAAAGGTTAAATTACCAGTTGATGTGTTTACTTGAACAGGAATAAACTCAAACCTTTTTTTTTGTAACATATCATAAGTGAAAGTATAAAATCTGTCTGCCATAAAAATAACTATCATCACTCCTGACAGCCTTGCAGGAAAAACGCAGAGAACAATTTAGTTGCATTTGTAAAGGTATGATCCCTGACTATTCTGAACAAAATTAATTGGCTATTGTTCAGATAAGTTACTGGCTTTTCAGAGAAAAATTAAGGAACCAATCTTCAAATTATAGGAACAATGTCCCTCAAATGCAGATGCAAAGTGCAAAGCATGATATCAATGCACAGTAGCAAAAAGAAAAATAAACATTTGGGCTGTTGTATTAAAGACTGATGGCAATAGTTCCTCTGTGGAGACTGGAGTTTTACATGTGCAAATACTTTATATGGCGGTTAATTTCACAAACAGATCAGCCTGACATTGATCATTTTTCCTGCTTATTGTGCAGGATCAAGATGTTGGAGCTGTTATCACTAATATGCCATGCCTCTCTGCAGCCAGACCCTTTATATTATCAAAGCAAAAGTTTGCAAAGTTACTTCTAACTAGTCTAAAAGCAGCTGATGCACCTGCAAATGTGAAATTCCAGCTGATTTCAGTTGTAAATAGACATTTTCTTTTATAAATAAAGATAAGCAATCCAGTAAACTAGATTAAAAAGGCCAAAAGCAGTTGGAAAAAATATCCGCGAGTAAGAATCAATCTTGGAAACTCGAACGTGCATCCTGTTTTCTCTCCAGGCTCCCGATCGGCAGTCGTCGAAGCAGCAGAAGAAGCTGGCGCAGTCTTTTCCATCTAAGCAATCGTAGGCATAGTCGTCGTCCTCGTGATATGGAACGATGTTGTTCATCTGCAGCAGGGACGTTCCAGGTCGGATATTTACCATGCTGGGAACTCTCTGCTGCAAAGGAACCACGGTTACTGCTCAGTTTAGAAGAATAAAACCCGAGCGAGTCAGATAAAAGTTCAGTTTGCACCTGTGCACTGTTGTTGGCTTTAGACTTCTTGGTCTGCCGGTTGCTGGTGAAGTAGTGCAACGTCCCATACTCCATGAGAGCGGCAAAGGTGAAGATGAAGCAGACGGAGACGAAGAGATCCATGGCAGTGATGTAGGAAACCTTCGGCAGAGACTTCCTGGAGATGGTGCTCAGAGTTGTCATAGTGAGGACTGTAGTGATTCCTACAAAGGGATAAATATAGAAATGTAAAAAATTATTTACATGATTTTTTTTTTAACATAAAACATAAAAACAAGAAATTTGCTGAATAATTGTGTAAACCATAGAAACCCAACAAAAAATAGCAGCTTATTGGAATTGTCCATCAACACCCAGATTCGAATAGTACTGCTTTCTGGTTTCCCATCTCACCTGATCCTCATTTACTAATCATCTGTCGCTTGTTTGTCTTTAGCGTTATCAACATAAATACTTCCTAGTTTCCTTTGTTCATATGCTCAGACTGTTGTGCATTAGTTCATATGTCCACCAATTAGTTGAACGATTGTTGCGTTTAAATCTAGTCAGAGTTGAACATGAGAGCAACATTTTTGAGTTGGGATCATTCATCATCTCCAAAGACATTATCAATTCCACTTATTTTTTAAATATCAGTACCAAAAAGACAGGTGATCTACCAAGACAATCGTGTAGCTATATTAAAAGAAACAAATTAATTATGTTTTTATCTTTTATCCTTGGGAAAACATTATAATCAGTGAAGATTAAGGTCAGCTCGATAACCAAATTACATGTGGGATTCCCCAAGGTTCTATTTTCAGATTACCTATACGTGCCTCTCTGCTAATATGGGTATCCACAGGACCACTTATCAAATTGTCCTGCTAATGCAGATTAATTTTTTTGTGCAACCACATGACAGTTCACAGAAATCACTTAGTGTCTATGATTTCAATGAGTGGATGAGTCAGAATTTCCTCCAACTTACTGCAGAAAAGGCAGACATTATTGTTTTTGGTTCCAAAAACATAAGATTGATCGTTTGCGGTTTGTCATTTTGCTTTATTTGCTCATAAAGAAAGAAAATTTGCAGGACCTAAGTCTGGCAGGATGCTAGACTTTCAAATGGCAAAATATTAAGATTTCAAACCTAGAGATGTCCGAGCTGGGACGGCATCCTTGTTAATCCAGAAGGACACCCAGGACAAGACCACTATCATGCTGCAGGGAATGTACGTCTGAATGGTGAAATAGCCCATCCGTCGACTCAAGTCAAAAAAAATTGTCATTATGACATATTCCCCTGAAACAGAATAACCAAATTAAAGATGAAAGGTGTTTTTCAACTTAGAGCACTGCAAAACTAGAAACAGTAAGGCGATTCTGTCTTACCTGATTGAGTGTGTGCCTCATCGGTGGTATTCCTCATGCCTACAAAAGCAAACTGGTAGAGTCTCCAGTAACGCTGGTCGGCCACCTCCACTGCCCGCCTCTGCCACCGATATGTGATCTCGTTTTTTGGATAACCATCTGCAGAACACCCCAAAACAGATGAAACAAAAGCTTGCCTCATTCCAACAGCATCAGATTTTTCAACGTAGCTCACATATAGACTGTGCAAGAAAGATGGATGTAGCCACAGCTCCTTACAACACAGCTAATCTCAACGATTTATGTAGTTATCAGTCACAGCATCCATTTTGGCCTAGTAAAAATCAACTTCATAAACATGTATCTGACATAGCTGTCCAAAATATCGTCTAAATTAAAATTCGATAAAAGCAATTTTATCGAACTTCATTACAGTTTTATATGGAACTGTAATGAAGTTTCATATCAACCTGCATCAGTTAAATATGTAATTTGTTGTCAACAAAAATAATGAGATGCAGCTCACGTTCAAGAGACGTTCAAGAAAACTTGTCTTGTGTTTACCAGTCTCAGCCCTCCTGGTGTACTATGATCTAATGATGGCACAGATTATACAGATTATCTGGAGTTTGCTTCAGCAAAGAGACCAGACGGTCTTTTATCTGTTTTGATGGAAACTTGCAGGGTAGGAGCTTGTTTCTGTGCAAATTGTGACATTTTTTCTAAACTAGTTTAGATCTGAAATATTTGTCTAAAAACCATTTTAGTACTGTTCAGTTTGTGTTAAAGGGTGGCTTGTGCAATTAAATTTTCCTATTGATAACAAATAATGCAACTTAGTTGATGTTTATGTCACAGCCCCGATTTGAGTATAAACTTATCTCATTCAGACACACGGTACCATGGTGAGTCAGGAGATGGACATATACAGGACAGTCCCAAAAGAGAAATTGTTATAGTTAGAAGGGAAGGGCTGTTTTTGATCTAATAAAGTGGCAAAAGGTCTTTCCAATTAAAACCTTTCTAAAGAGCAAGCAAGTTCATAAGCATATTTGGCTGCAATGGCACTGAGTGAATAGCAGATTTAGTTTATGGTGGGCCCTAAAATTTTATAAGACTTCTGACTCGTAGTACAGTATTTTCAAGAATAACTCGTAAATATAAAGACTACTTAAATTATGTACTGTAGATGTACTGTAAATCAAGATTGTGATCTTTGCTTTAAATCAGAATGGCTACATCTTTCCTTGACATGGTCTATGAGTGGTTGTTATTCACAGGAAACAGCATTAGGGCAAAGAAGATGGAAGCATTCAAAATGTCACTGACCTATTCAGTCACAATAAATTTCTTCAAGTTTGCAAATTAAGTTTGATTCCAAATAGTCTAGACCTCTTTCACGATCCACTGGGTACATATTTGCTTCTCTTTTTGTAATTGTTTCTTGATCCTGCTTATTAGTTTTGAGAATTTGGAATTTCTCTTAAAAATACAGAGTGGCACATTAAACATTTTAAAAGCACTGAGCTGAAAGCTCTGGCTTAGGGATAAGGGATAAAGTGAAGAACTCCATCATCAGATGGGAACACAGAGGGGAGCCCCTGCTCCTCTACATCAAAATTAATTAATGGAGGTACTTTAGGCTTCTGATCAGTATGCCACCTCAGAAGGAGACCCAGAACTCACTGAACAAATCTCCTCTGGTCTGGGAATGCCTTGAAAGAGCTGCAAAGGGATTTCTCGGTTTACCTTCTGCCAACTGGCCTTCTGTCTATGTCAAGTTTTACTCTGTAATCTTTTATATTTTCTAAACAGTTGGCCTTGATTTCTGGCTTTTTGTTACCATGATAATAGACTTTTCGGAAAAGTTATTTCTTCGTTACCAAAGTGACCAAATATTATGTTGATGTAAAATATCTTTTTTTATGAAAACCATATCAAGCCACTACTGTTCGTATAACACAAAAGGTTAGTTTAGGCTTGAGTTTATCACAAACTCATGCTGATTTGATGACATTTCCTGTGACTGAACTGGCTCTGACATTTGACATAAACTCAGTGGAACATTCTTTGTGTTTTCCACTGACGTGTGGAAGATAAGTCATGAGAAGCAAAAGCACAACACAAGAGACAAATGAAGGTTGACAGACAGCATGAATCAGACTGGGAAAGGGTGCAGAATTCATTAAGTCTGTCAGCAAAATGGTAGTAGGTGACCTCCTCTTTCTGCTGGTGGAGCAGATGATAGATTGGTACAGCCTCAAGCAGATGGGCTCTCTGGCAAGGAGAATGAACACAGGTGATGCCATTGTGCTAGTCCCTTGTTCTAGGAGAGCTAGAAAGCTGCAGTCAAGATGACGGGTTCGAAAATGAGAGAATGTTACGTTTGACAACCTACAGCTTGAAAACTCCAGCGGACACGAGTGCTCATCCATTGGAAAGTTATGCAGCTTAAGGTAACACTCCGCATTAATAGTCAACCTGATAAAACAGAATTGTGACAGAAGAAAATCAAGTCTCAACATTCTTTTGTGTGCTTTTTTTTTCTCACTCTCTCTGAAACACCAATAAAACAAACAAATTGATCATGGTTTGACAAACTGGAGTTACTTTAAAAAGAAACACAGATGTGCACACTAAAGCTGCACAAAAAACAAATATCTTTAGAGTTAACATTAAATATGCTAACAAATGACCTGCAGTGTCCTACCTCAGTGTGTACATGACTCGCCCATTACTCCACAGCCTCAGAAGTCGGTTGGGAGTTGTAATCCAGTGGGCATCTGACTTTCGGGAATTCCTGAAGAAGGTGTCGGGAATCCAGATTTTGCCTACCATGTTACTGTTAAGCATGAGCAGCTTCATCGAACTGTTGAACTTCAGTCGGCTGTCATACCATGTTTGGGCAAAGAAGATGTCAATGGTGTATTCCTGCAAGAAAAGGTCATTGCAAACGTTGGTATCTATTTTCCAATTCGTGTTAAGTTTTCAGTATGGATACATTGTTTTTTCAATGATCAAAACTTCTTTTGCCACTTTTCAGTTGCATCATGCTTGTTGAACAGAGACACATCTAAGACATGAAGGATAAAAGTTTAGCAACCCTGAAATAATTCAAATTGCAGGGTGACAATGGATCAGAAGTCAAGGGGTCAAATCCCAACTGTCCATCTTAGTTTTTTGTGTCCTTGGGACAGACTCTCCCCCTACCTCGCCTGCTGGTGGTGGTGTTCTGGGGGTCCAGTGGCAACAATTGATTGACAGCCTTGCTGAGTCTGTCAGTTTGTCCCAGGGTACCATTGGCTACAATGTAGCTTCCTACCATCAGCATTTATGTGAGTGTGTGTGCTAATGGGTGAATGACTGACGGTAGCATAGAGCACTTCAGATATGAACCTACAGCTAAAGTGTTACACAAGTACAAGTCATTTCCTAACAGGATCATGTCAGGCTTAGCATACAGAGATAAATACAGAGTTCCATTCACCTTTAGGCAAAAGAGGAGGAAGGCTTTCATATCATCATGGTCTGGACTTAGACGAACAGTTTATTGTCACTTCTTCATAGGAGAGGATTTTACTGGTTCTGCCCCAAGCTAACCTACCCAGATTAATCTCCATTAGCAGATTCTGTGTGGATCTCCCCATTTTTTGTAACTACATCAGGTGTAGTACAAACTGAACCAAGCCTTGTACTCCAAGCAATTCCATAGCAGATTGCATTCATTGGTTGGACCATCACTCCAAATGCCAAACAATTAGCAAAGAGTTTTTGGTCAGACAGTTGTCCATTTTAATGGTTAATCCAACTTTTTAAAAGAACAAAATGAATAAAAATGAGAACAAGTTGCAGCTAAATTGGTGGAAACTGCCTCACCATGTTGATGGGATCCACTGGTCCGATACTGTTGACATAAACTGCTGTTTCGATCACTGTGGGCCGCACTGAAACATAACGTGACAACAGGGACTTACAGGTAATGCTGCACGTAGCAACCAAGCTCACAATAACAATCATAACACTCATTTCAATAAATATAAATAAACTTTAAATATTAGAAATCCTGTTTGAATATTGAGAGCATGTTTCTTCTAATGCAGAAGGTGTTACGTGGACATGAGAGGATTTTTTTTTCTCACCTCCGATGTCAGGCCGCAGTTTGTTGTCGTAGCCCTGCAGCAGTTTATTGAGGATCAAAGTCACGTCACTCTCATAGACCTTTGGCGATAACACCCAGGTTTTATTTATGGGTACATCCTCATAGTCTTCATCTTCCTGTTTACTGGGCCCAATGGCTGAACTGTGAAGAAGAGAGATAACCATAAAACATCAACAGATATCCAGAGATTCTCAAATTTTCCTCTGGTGTTTTAGCTCTCATTTGGCTTTCATCAAAGGAGAATGAGTGCTTGATTAATCTTGTGAACTGAAGGTGAAAATTACTGTGCGAAGAAAATCAGGCAGCTATATGCACCTTTGAAACTTTCAAAGGAAAGTAGAGGAGATTTCTGGCCAGATGAGGAATCAGATCACATGGACATCAACCATTTATTAGACTGAGAACCTTGACGAGAACAGATCCCGGAGGTTTTTAAGCTGTGATGTGTTTGAGCATATGCCAAACACATTTTACTCATACTCTGATGGAACATCTCGCACACATCTAACAGATTAAATTGGATTTTATTTCTCATTTAACAGTTGACAGACTGCATACATGGTTTTATTCATTAAGATGCTTATTCTGCTCTTTATAAGATACATATTCTTGGTGAAATAATTTACTCTGCTTCAGCTCTAGGGTTTCACATATAATAAAATTAAAATGATTGTGTCTTTGTCAGGTTCTGAAATTGAGTATCAAGCTTACAAAAAGACACAATACGTTACTCAATACTATGTTTTTGTTGATGTTTATTAGGTCCCTCATATTATTATGGAGAAATTTTCACTTTTAAACACTTGCTTTGTGAATGCAAAGCAAGTGTTTAAAAGTTGGTTGGTTGATCAGCACCATTGAGCTAGAAGATTACCTCTTAAATCTTTCAAAGGGTGGGCTTTTACAAAGCTCTTCCAGATTAGCTTCTTTGCGGTTAAAGGAATGTAAGAAAATGTTGAGTCGATATGGGATTAAATTACTGGAAAACCTAATATCTATCTGATTATTTTCATTATATTATCTAAGGCACTCGTTCTGAAAGAGGGCGTGAAAATCAAAAATCAAATACATTATTAATAGCAAAATAAACAGGCTAAAGGCTGGACTTCCATTTTATGATTGTAACATCATGTCAAAAAACAGAACGTTTTCAAACTCAACTGTCAACAGAGGTGATGTAATGAATAAATTAAATCTGCAATAAACATTGCTGTGCTGCAGATGTAAAACATCCAGAACATCTGTTTTCATCAGTGATGCTTCACCCTTGAACGCCAACGTTTCAGAAGTTTGAACTAACAGCTCTAATGTATGCAAAATCATGCTGGATTTATTTTTTGGCTCTGCGCCCTTAAGAGTAAGCTATACAGACGAGCTTGTTTTCAACAGATTTACAGCAGTGATTTTGCTTTTGTTGTTTTATTGCTATATGAAAAATGTATTTAAATCTTCCATCCATGACATATGCAAGCAAGCTGCTCAAATCTGTAACGTCATGTTTCTTTTCAATTCAGTGGAAGGGTGATTATTTTCTTTGCTTCTAAAATTAGGATCAAACTGCCACTTTTTGCCACAAATATGGAGTATATTTTTAGGCCAAACTGCAATTCTTAAGCAAACAGAGAAGCAGGCTCATGCAGTGCACCTGGACAATATTCAGAGCACTTCACCTTTTCCACATTTTATGTTACTGTCTTATTCCAAATTGTATTCCTAAAGTACATTTCACAGTAAAAATTCTAAGTTTTTATTTATTTAAATGAAGATATGTGATCTAAGTATCATTTTTAGTTTAAACGTGCAACTTGTATTAACAGAAATCAAAGTCAGTAAACAGTTTTACACAAAAACATACCTCACTTAATACTGTTGGTTCACATACAGTAGTTTTTTACACCTCCTGTCAACTTTAGTAACATTATTTAGACATGTATCAATAGAAATGATGACATTGGATTCATGTTATATTTTAACATCCAGCAGAAACCCACAGAAACTGTGTATTTTTGGTACTTTTATATAATGGAATGTGTTCCTGAACCATATAAAGTAAAATATGTCCAAAAATAAGAAATGGGCTTCTTGTAACTCTAAGCAGAAAAAGTCTAAAATGAATCCTAGCTTAAATGTGAAGCTTTTAACCTACCAGTTTTTCATCCCATGTGTTTCATTGTTTCCTCAGAACAAACATTCACTTTAATTGTTCCATAGATTGTGCTGTGTGAGGATGTTCAATATTGCTGGGACTCCCCAAGGGCAAAAAACAGCTTTTAGCTTATAAAGCATAGTTCTGACCTGTGCTTTTTTTCAGCACCGAAAATAAAAGATCAGCAGTTTTTAGCTCTACACACACACAAAAAAAATAGATGTTTGATATTGGTCTTGTGTTTGCACAATCAAAGCACCAGGTTGTGTCAGGTTGCATGTCAAAGGAAGGGTGCTTGGACTCAGTGCACACAGCAGCACTTCTGGAATGCAACTTAAACAGAGCTATAAGCAGTTTTATGTGTCTGCTATCTGATGAGTCCTGCTGTTTCTATTACAGGCCGTTCCACATGGTCGAACTCTCAGCTTGTGCCAAATGACGCTGCTGCTGTAGTTCCCCACTAATAAACACAGACCTGATACTATAAGGATCCCTGTGGACCTGGCGTTCAGCCCGGGATTTAAGCTACTCTTTCCGGAATGATTTCTGATAGACATGATCCCCCCATGACACAGTGACCTAATGACTAGACAAAAATGTCTGTGTAGTCACCTTAAATGATATTGCAACGGGGATACGACAAAGATCTAAAGTGCTGATTGTAATCTAAAAATAGACTCATAATAAATCTACATCTTTATTAATAAAACAACTGAAGGCAGGCCAATGGAAAGCAAATGTTGAAAAAAGAATACTATGGATTAAATAAATGAAAGAAAAGTGAGGGAAGAAATCAACAAATTCAGCAAGCCAATAATCTTAATTATGAAATTACAAAAAGAAGCCACAATACAGTTGTTGCCATTTCTAGCCTTAATATATAAACGAAACGTCTAAATGTTTTGACACATCAGGAGAAAACTAAAGTGTCATTCTCCTGTGGCATGACGAATAAATACATCTTTCAAAAGTGTTCATCAAACTTTGATTTCTCGCCCTGAAACACCAGATTGATGGAAATTCTGAGTCTCATGAGCCTGCTTGTGGTTGATGAAGATTTTATTCACATCCCAAATAAAAATTACCCTCATATCAATATTAAATCTCTTCTGACCTCATCACTGCTAATATGACCAACCATGCACTTAAAGTGTTGGTAAAAGACAACAGCCTGCACTGCTGCAGACATTAAGACACTAATAGTATTTTCTCATTATATTTGGGAGTTTTCATGGGGGTGTCATTAGAAGCAATGGAGCTTGATGTAGCCCATCAGGGGCGCTGCTTTCAGCACTAAGCTGCAGCCCCAGTTCTGCTTTGATCCTGGAGAGACTTTCAATGATGATTAACTGATTGCTTGGCAGCTCTTTCCGTCTCTGTTTTTCCTGGACTCTCATTGAGCTTAAATCAACAACAGTTACTCTGCCAAAACTAATCAGTAAAGCTGTGAAGACACGAACTGCAACACTGACGGTTTCATAAATCTGTTAAATCCACACACAGGGGTCTGTCGTTTTTATGTTAATTTCCTTACAGTCTTACACAGAAACAACCTGAGCACTGCTGAAGAGACACATGACATAGCTGGTATTTATTTGTCTGTTACAAGCACATTCAGACATTTAAAATGTAATTTGACAGTTTTTTCTTAAATACTTTAAATCTCTACCTCACATATTTTGTCCATGAAAGACATCTGGAAATTTTGAGAATCTAAGTTCACGTTTAAAGCAACAAATATGAGGAAAGAGGATAATAACTAGCTTGATATATAAAAAAACATCCACAAATATTATGAAAAGCGATCAGATGCACTAAATAAAAGCAAAGCCATCAGCTAAATTCATTTACATGTCATTAAACAAAGTTTTTAATGAAAAAATTTGAATTAGTAAAAAGTATATGACGAAAAAAATTGCACAGACATTATGCAAAGAGGCTTTAACAAAACGTTTGATTGTTGTAACAGACACAGTTTAATTTCTAAACATCTAAATGTCCCAGTGAGTGCCGATGGAGCCATAATCCCAAAACTAATTGATTATTACACCATAAAACCGCTATGGCCAAGTGCCCTTCATTATATTGTTTGCATATGAGCGAAAAGAATAATAAAAATAGTTGCACTATAGTACAATAAACCATGATGGCCTCTATGCACATTCACTGCACAAGACTACAGGATGAAAAAGAAGAATGTTGAAGATTAGTCAGTATAATACGGGAAAAACACATCAGAGTCAGATGAGACCAAAGCTAAACGTTTTACAAATCACTGCTCTCACAATGTTTGAAAGAAAAATGGTTCTGCACACCACCTGAAGAAAAAACTGTGCCAAAACTATGTCCTTTACTACCATCTGCAGAGTTTAGATCCTAATAATTGTCCAATGGAGTTCAAGTAAACCATTAAAAGTCCAAAACTGATGTTATATTCACAAATAATAGTTCTCATCCAAACTGTTGGTGAGGGAAGGTTTCAATTTGAGGAGTTTGGTAAAAACTTCTCCAAGAGGCACCAAACATTCAGACAGTCAGGCAATAACTGGCATCTTTAAACTGAAAATTAGAGAGACTCTTGGACTGCAGCTGGTGAATGATGGCATGATCGATCATGGCTAATTGATTTGTGCTTTTATCAGCTTGACTGGATTACAATGCCTCGTAAGATTCACTATTAACTTTTTTTTTTTTACTATTAGTATTTCAACGTGCAGGAATAACAAAGATTACTTGTTTGCCTGCTGAGAAATTCCATGTTTTTCTTTTTTTAACTTGAAAAGAAGTCCCTAATCTTAATAGTATGCGTTAAGTGTCGCTCATGCCACGGGCTCAAACACATGTTTGAACAGTGGGGGCCAAAATCACCCAATCTGCAAATCTCAGGTAAATGAGAAAAAACACACACGAAGCAGTCAGCCTCAAGAGAAAACCCATCGTCAGATTTTAAACTCCCCAACCGCAGCTCTCACAATTACCCGCTGTAAAAAAAGAAAAAGACAGACACACACACACACACACACACACACACACGCTCAAAGACCCCTTCTGCGGTCATTTTCACCCCCTCTTCCCATCACGACGGGCGCATGGAAGCGACTCACTCACCAGAGACCGAGCAGCGCGAAGAGCAGCCAGGGATTCATGGCTTTGTCCCGCAGTGCCGAGAAAAGCAGCGACTTCATTCCGCAGCTGGATCCGCACAGATATAACAACTGTGATGTGAATAATAAAAAAAGCGGCGGTAAGAGTGAGAGGAAATCAGGTGGATTCTGTCGGTGGATCAGGGCTGAATGCAGAGGGTGATGGTGAGGCATGGATTCATGGTGCGTGTGCGTGCGTGTGTGTGGAGGGGAGGAGGATGGGAGTGCAGTGAGTGAGGCTGCTTTAGTCCATCTGCAGTGCTGCTGTGACAGATGCTGTTCTCTGACTGGTGTCGTTAAGAGGAAGTTACAGCAACATACGGGTTTTATTTCATTGTGGTTCCTTTATAGGAACTCTGTCCCTGTGCAGCTCGACAGATGATTGAGTGCCTTGCTCAAGGGCACACTGACACAGTGCTCTTCATTTTTCGCTTCATGTTTTCGCCAGGTACAAATTGCGTCCCAAACTACTGCAAAAACAATAATGTAGTTATTTCCGTCTGTTATTTGTGACATGAAAAGTATCAAACAGGTTTTAAATCAATGACAACGTTTGTATTTACAAAATACATTTTTTTAAATTACGAATCTACTTTAGTGGGGAAAAGCTTTTCAAACTAATATTGACATTCCTGTAAAAGTAATTGTCCCCTTGTTCAGTCATGAAGTAACTATAATTAACCACATTTGTTCACTAGCCACACCCACTCAGAAATAAGAGATCACTTAACCCCCTGTTAAGTGATAATATCTCATTCAGTTATGCCACATTGTGCCTAATCTATTTAATTTACATACAAATTATCTATGTGCTGTATAGAACCAAAAAATCTTTTTGGTCATTGCTTGCAAGCAAAAACAAATTTTGTATGTGATTGTAGAGACATTTTAAGGGGCAAATAGGATCAGTCCAACCACATTAAGGAGACTCAAAGATAATTGAAATCAACACGCTGTGCTCTGATCAAAAGAAATACAAGACCATATGACAAACAGAGTCTGTAAAAGTTTAAAAATCTATTTCTAAAGGGATTCTAGTGATATCCCCAAAGAGTGGAAATGTTGAACAGCATGAGCCTCCTGAGAAGTGGCTGGTTGATCAAAATGACCAAAAGAGCAAACTGAAGACTCATCCAGGAGATCACATAAGAACCCAGATCAATGCACTGCAGCCTTTACTTACCTCACTTAAGGTCAACGTTCAGAACTGAAGAATAAAAATATGCGTTTGCATTTTTGAATTGGCAACAACATTTATTCCTAGATGTTTAAACTTGAAACATATTTCAAAAGACTTGCAGCAAAATAGGATTGTACAACATGCCTCTGGTTCACATTTACTGCTGTGAGGATATGAATTATTGCATTTCTGAGGATGCAATAATTACACTAATTACAATTATTATACAAAAAAAAGTACACTAAAATACACAGGAGAAAAAAAATCATAAAATCTAACACCCAGAGGAAATAAAGAGTAGATTTATTTATTTATTTTTTTCACATGCAGCCCAGTGATGGATGCTGGATGTGAATGGAAGGTATTTTCTGAAAATCTCTACAACGAGAGATGAAGAAAATTTAATTATCACACTAAGAAACACACACTGAATGGGAGGAACAAATCCTTTGATATTTATGTAAAAATTAAATAATGAATCTTTGGTAATGTCACTTTTTGTTTTTTATTCACTGTTTCTTTTCAGAATGTAACCATGACCATGTTTCTGTGTCTGGAGACAAAAGTGATGATGGTGAAACCTTAACATGATCCTTAAAAAAGGCATTGGTCAGAAGTGCTTTTCATTGAGCAGCAGATGGCTTTCTCCATCATTTATAGCCTCCAATTCAACCCCAGCGGCTATTGTTATAAGAAAAACTCTAAAACATTCTGGTACCCCACATAAAAATCTGCTAAAATACAGGTAGAACATGAGAAGAATACCAACTTTATCTTTTCATTTGATTTTCATTTTATGTTTGACATCCAGTTTAGATTTTCTTCCAGCATTCCTACATGAGGCAATAAAAAACCTGCATCTCTCAGGTTGCAGCACCACATCTGTCAAGTTATTAATATTCATGATGTTTCCCATTGTATGGAAATGTACAAACATTGCTTCTAGATGATAGTTTCTGCACTGCTGTAGTTGTTCTGATAAATATCAACCATCCTCTTAGGCCTTCCTGGAGATTACTGTGAGATTATTCTCTGTTTGCATTTCCTTCAGGCAACATTTGCTGACAAATGCAGCAGACGGCCCTAAGGTAACCAAGGAAAGGGATTAAGCTCACATAAAAAAAAAAGAGAATTGTAGGGAGCCTTGCTGATTATTGCTAAAGCTATAATTATATATATCTGATCAGAGTAAAGCTGTTCTTTAGGGAAAACAGCTAATCAGAGAGCTGCAAGGTGGCATTTTGCTTTACATGCTGATTGTGTCGGAGAAACAGCGTGTGACCAGAGCTCGCTATTAATGCTAATGTCTTTTTACTGCCTTCAAACCATGGAGGCAGGTAATTAATGTGCCAGTGAGGCAGAGATGTTACTGACAAAAACACATTAAGTCTGACACTTTGAATTACGATAAGCGGCTCGGTCTTCTCATTTAAGTAAAAGGGTTACTTTGAGGTTACAGTTAAAATCTGGATGAAGAATCCAGGTTTTTACATGAAGGGCAAAGTAGATAAAATGCATGCAAGCCATTTAAAAAGATAGCCAACATTGGGTTGTTGAAGATACCCAGATATCCTTTTCAAAAGTGATCCACTTAAGCTCTTGAGGAGCCATAGAGACATGTTAGTCCCTCTCCAGGGTTTGGACCCGCTGTAAGCCCTCAGCAAGAGATCAGCCAGACAGGTCAGAGATAAAGCAATGGAAATGGCTGAAGCAGGTAAGTTATGAAGCAATACTGAAAGATTCCAGGAATTCTAAGCATCTGAAAATGGATGTTCACACAGTCTAACAGAGACAGAGCTGTAACAGTTTTGCAAGGAAGAACAGACTGAAACTGCAGCGTTCAGAGACTCATCCCCACAAACTTCATGTGACGATTTCAAACAAAGGTGCAGCTACTCAATACCGATGCAGTATCTTCTTTTTTTGATTAATTTGAAAAAATAAATTTTGACTTTGCCATTAAAAGTTTTTTTTTTTTTTTTAATTAAATTGTAAAAGCAAAAAAAAAAAAAACAGGCAAAACACCCAAGGAGGTGAAGACCTTTTATGGATGATTCCGCACCCAGTATCTGAACAACAACATGTGTGACTTTTTAAACCTCTTGAATCTGACCGGCAATCACTACACGGACCTTTCCACACCTCTGAGCGTGAGGTGTAGCTTCTCTGATCTGAGTTGCCAGCTGCAAACTGGGAAGCTGAGGCAGTCGACCTTCCGGCAGAGGGGGCGATGGGGCAGAGATGTGATGAGTAAAGTGATGAGTGTGGACATTTGTGGCCTCTGGCTAGAGCCAGACCTTCTGAAAGCAACCCCACCTCCAAGATGAAGACACTCTGCAGAGCTCTGGGCTCTCTATGAGTGTTATTACATGATCTGAGCCACGGTGACAGCTGCAGCGTTATCTCTACATGACTTCTCATACATCTGCAGTATGTATTTACTGCTGTGGAGAGAAATAATGCTCTGTACAGGTTTACAGTGATTTCTGCTCATGAGCGATGGGTGAATTCCCTGGATGCGAGGCCAGCAGGAAGGATAAGATGATGTTTGTGCGGATCAAAGCCAGGTGGAGGGGAAAGTGCAGATTTAAGGGTAAATGTGCTGATTTGATGTTGATGTTGCTCTGAGATGGATTACAGCCCCTTCAGCTGCAGACACTCAGCAGTTGATCTAAGCACGCCAAGGATCAGGATGTCACGGTCAGAATAATTGACCGTGACATCCTCTGTAATGTAAAAATGGATTTAAAGATCCGTATTGTGCAGTTTTTGACAGCAAGGTGTTAAAATAAAGTGCTGCTCATTTGGGTTCATAACGTTCAACTCTCATACATTTGAACACTCCAGAACAAACATGATTTAAAGTAGAGCGAGAATGCTGGCTGAATATTTCTTTCAATCTAAAAAGTATTTCTGGGGAATTCTAGTGGATTGAAAAAGGAACATCTTTAATAACCTCAGGCTCTGTTCTTCTGATGAGGTTTAATTAATTAACTGACATGCTGTTATCAAATTAAAATGATCTTTTTAATAAAGCTGTTTTAGCTTGAGTTCCAGACTGGATTTATAGATCTTTTAACAGAAAAAGATCAATATGATTGTATTTATATAATAGAGATGTGTTCAGGTCCTCGATCATTAACTAAAACAATCCCAAGTAAGAATAATTTATCCAAAGGACAGGAAGGAAAGAATTTGTTAATGTCACTTTAATTGGGGTTTTTTTGCACAGTAAAAGAATCTGGGGTTATTTAAAGAAGGAAGATTAAGTTGAATAGCTGTGTGATCTCTAATTTCTCAAATGGCACTGCATCTAATAAGTGATGAACAAGAGATTACTTTGGATTTATTTTCTTCTCTGCAACGTTGAATTGGATTCCCGAATCCCAAATTAGCTTTCATTGAACAAACCTGGAGTCCTTAAGTGTTCAAAAAAGGGCAAAAGTATCACATGGAAAAATTACTGTTGTGCACACTCAATTTTATGAATGATGTATCACTAAAAGCACATATATATGTGTTGGTCTGTATCCTGGTAAAGACCCAAGTGCTTCATGGGTTTCACACATTTTCACGTCATATTTTCCACATGTTAAGCCATGTGGAAGAAATATGTATCTGATACACATGATATGCACGTGATACATATAAGGATCACTTGTGAAATATGTGAAAATATAATTGACATATAAATTAATTATCTTTTGCAGGGAAGATGCACAGATAAACATATGTAGGATTAAGAGAACGAGAAAAGGGGTTACACATTATTTCAAGAATTTCTATTCTGGCAAAAATAAATGTTCCTGTTACCAAAATAAAAAAACTGAGAAAGAAAAAAAATATCTAACCTGAGTTATTTGCATCATCTTTATTACAGAAATATTTAGTCTTCTTTGAAAATACAACAGCACAAAAGACTCATATTTTGATAATCATACAGAGAAAGTTTCAAGCATAAACAAAATAAATTCACTCCTCTAAAATACCAATAAATTGTAAAGTATCTCAAAAGCACAGTGTTTATATAGCTACACATAATAAATGCACAAAAGTTGCTTTCAATAAATGTCATTTAAAAGGATTGCAATTTTACACATATATAGTATTCAATATATTTTAGTGCTAATAGTGTTTTTTTGTTGAAGGGAATGTATAGGAGCGTGAGTCCTTCTTAAGTGCTACATTTTTTATAGAACAATGCTAATAAACAAAAACAATAACACCACAGAGACAAACATCAAGACAGCGAGTACAAATTTCATTGAAACAAACACGTGCATCCAGTCAGAACAAGCTTTTGTAGTATGCAACTTAAAACTAGGGAAGGAAAGATGGATAGCATGTGCTTTGAAAAAGCTACAGGCTAAGCAATGAGGTCTTAAAAGATTTACCAAAATATTTTTTGGTAATCCAGGGCTACATTACTGTGACCCAATGAGCCAACATCTCATTGATTTTTAATGCACCTTTCACTTTCTGCTGCCTCATAAAAAAGTATGCATTATACAAAACTAAACTACTAAGACAGCACACATTGATTTGCAACAATTGAAACAACTAGAAGAGCAGAAATTACCAAATTAACATATTGTTGGTGTGGTGAAGAAATTCCAAAGCTTGGTTTGTTATTATGGCATTTGTAGCATGACATCATTGTTTTCTTCATAGAAAGTAAGGAGGTGATAAACTTCTATTGACACCCGTGCCAGCTGCAGACTGTTAGCTACAGCACAGATTTTGGAGAAAAAAACTAGATTGTTACATCTAGAAACACTGGGTCCATATCATCCCTGCATTTCTTAACAGATACATAAAAATACAAAAGCCACAAGAGCAGACAGATGATCCACAGCTGTGCCATTGGGAAGTACTGTGAAAAACATATTTTCCACAGAGATTTTTTTTTTCTTTCCTGAGAGATTAGAACATCTTACAGCAAATATTCAATCTTATCTCATTGGTTATCACATCTATAAGTAGCACAGCTTATGTCATATGATATACTGTGTTGTCAAAAAGTATTTACCCTCTATGACTGTTTGAATCTACCTAGTGGTTCTGTCACTGGTGACATTTACAGCAATTGCAATTATTCTTTTACATCACTGTGCAGGAATTTTAACAAACTCTTATTTGAAAATACCAGCTGTAACACAGGGGTTCAGCTTAGATAGCTGTGTTCCTAAATGCTGTCTTTAAAATTGTTAGTTGAAAATATGAAAATCAGTCTTATGATTGGAAACATGAAAGTGAGAAAAAACGAAAACAAAAAATCCATAGAGGGGGAAATACTTTTTTTATAGAACTGCTTGTTATGTAAAATAAACTAGTAGACTGGATATCTACCTTCACCATAAATATTGATCTGATAACCACAGCAGTGAAATAAAGTATTGGAACAGACACCAGCTGTGCTGCTGTAAAACAATCTAATTCAGATAGGAAAGATGACTATTTTGTAGACATTGTTTATTTGCTGCTGAGTTAGATGGTTAAATCAGATTTCTGGATTACAAGCACAGGACTGTTAGGACTCTTCTCAGCTTTGATCTGCCCTGCAGGCTGGGTAGTTTAGCTTATTTTACCAAGCAAAAACACCTGGCATTGTGATGAGATATTGGGATTACTAAACTCTGGCAACTCCATAAGTTCTCCTCCTCTTTATCATCTTTCTTCTTTGGCAGTGAAAAGTGAAGATGGATCATCTGAATAATTCAATATTGGCATCACAGCAACATGTTGTCCTGTCGTACTTACACTAAGAAACATTCTTGACAGTTTGTCTCACCCTTTTTATGTTGGCATGCTGACATCCAAAATGGCAATATACATCACTGGAAGAAGTGATTTCACGGAGAAATCCTCAAACAGCTTTGGAGCATTTTCTTAGACCCACAGCCAGGTTCTTTTCTTGTCTTACGTAATTGGAGACGAGGACGTAACATTAATTAATAAATTAAAGTAAAAGATTTGGATATGCGTTATACCAAACATTGGAAGCAACAAAACATCAAAATTTAAAATCCACTGCCAGACAGCCGAGAATTTCATTAAGCACTCATTTGCTGGTTGATTAAGGCACATGCTCAAATTGCCTGAGCAGTATTTAGACAATAAATCGGCATGTAAAACACATTAGTACCAGTGATTTCTACATCTGCAAAGTAAGTGTTGGCTTGTAGACTCTGAGCTGTGTTTCCAGAGCCAGTCATGCTACGTTTGACTATTGTTTCTTGAAGCACAAGATGTCAAGTACTCTGTTTCCCCATAATAACTTTCACTTGAAAGAACTTGCTTCAAATCTCTGTTAGATATCACAAATGAATCCCTTTTTGTAATTTAGAGTTCCCTTATCTTATTCCTGGAGCTTTTCATGGGGGATCCTAAGTGTTCTCAGGTCAGAAATGACATTCGGTCCCTCCAGCAAGTTCAGGTTCCACTTCAGGGTTCTCTGTTAAATGTTTATTTCCATTCCGGAAAATGTTACATTTTGGGAGTAAAGGTCTTAGGAGGTTGGGAATGAAATGGAACAATGCTATAACTACTACATATTAAGCCGCAATTAACAAATCACTCTGATTTACTATCTGCTCACCACTTGTTAACAAGAAACAAAAATATATGGACCTTCACTCTTATCGAGGTAACCTCCATATGTAGAGAAAACATTATTCTTTTGGCCCATTACCAACATATAAAGTTCGTCCACACTGCATTTGAATCTATAATGTATTTGCGTTTCAAATGAGTTGCAGGTATTAGCGAGCCGTAAGCGAACAGATGATTTGTAAGCTGGTTTTAACTGCTTTGCTACATAAAACAGCTGTACAAACTGTAACACAGTGAAGTCTCCAAACCTATTTCTACCACACTTCATCTGAAAGTGTCAGCAGAAGTGAAAACTTATTGTATTTAGGTCTGAGTGTATTTGCACACTGTGAGTTTTTTTATTTTGCTTTTTGAGTTTTGACTTCTTCCTCTCTGAGTGGCCTCGCAGCCCATGGAGTAAAAGATGAGCTTCACCATTAGCTATCTTTACAAAATATGTTCTACGTTTGATTCAAACATTTAGCACCACAACATGTTTTCCCCTGGGAAACAGAACATGACGCCTTTCTGAACAGCGTAATGGCTGGACATCCATGGTATTTATAGCTACATAATTGTTTCAATCTGTTTTTTACAACATGACATCTTCAGGAACCTCAAAATTGTACCTATGATGTAATTTACTTACAAGACATTAGTAAGTACTCTCTTACTAATACCTTGTTAGTATTAGTAGGAGCGTATTAGTATGTACTCTAATATCTTGACTGATTTATGTTTGCAAAAAAAATCTGCCAAAATAAATCTTGGGTAATTTATTTCAAGCAAAGACACAATATATTTGAGATGTCGCCTTGACATACATCCTCATGTGTTTTTGTTTAATTCAAATGTTGTGGATTAAGAAGTCAGAAGCTTAGCATGCCTTGACCACATGCTCGTAGGATACACATGAGGGAGTTTTCCTTTCCACCTTCCCCACATGTATGAGTGATTTGTGCAAAGTTAATAACTTGAAGCAATTGGGTAGGTTTCGTTAGATAGAAAACATTTTACCAATTGACCTAATAAACTGAACTTTACATCTTTGTTTTTCTGGGATCAAACAGTGACTGTAATTAACGTTAAATCTGTCTATTTATGTGATGGATTGAATTTACTTCATATTTCTGTCAATCAATGGCATTAGTCAATTTTGTAAAGCGCTTTTACATGGCATTTGTTGTGAATCAGTATTATAGAATTGGTGCTTTGTTGGTTCTACATATCTAAACTGATCTAAAACAAGAACATTTGGTGTTAATGTGAGACAGTGAGAAAAAAAAATATTATATGTCATTTATCACATCTATCTATTATTTGTACCCACCTATCCTTGCAGGATCCGGGGGAGCCTACCTCCAGCAGTCATTAAGCTGGATAGATAGCCTGGGGGCAGTATACCGTGGAAAAAGTCACCAGTCCATCACGGGACAAGACAGAGACAAACATGACAAATAATTCACAGACACACACATTTATAGGGGCTATTTAGAGTAACCAAACAGTTTTTAGAATGTGGGGGGCAGCTGGAGTACCCAGGGAGAACTCATCCATGCACAGGGAGACAATGCAAACTCCATGCATAAAAAAACTGAGGCTAACACTGTGTTACAGTGTGCCACTATGCAGCTTCCTTTCATACAGTGTATGTAAATATTTGTGCTAAACTTTATATTAATATATATGTCTGAGTGTATTTATACAGTATTTGAAAAAAAAATCAGATATTTGTTATTATTGTAGTAATTTTTCTTGGAATGCTCATTCCCATAAACTGCACAGCCCACCTGATATCATAAAAATCTGATTGCTTCATCTTTCTGCTGATTGGTTCCAAGCAGGTTGTGGACAGTCATTTTTCTAAGACTGTAAACTTTTGTAAACTTGGTAAAAGTGAAGAGAAAACGCCTCTTTGAACCTGAGGGGAGCTGCAGAACAATATACTCTGCAGCATTTCAGGTATCCTGGTTTATGCTGTATTTTATATAATTTCATCATCATATATCTTTAAGAAAAAAATAATGAAAATTCTGTGTGCTCTAAGCTTATTTAGAAACGTGTATCTATACTGACTGAATACTGTGTCCAGTAATGAGAGAAGATAGGTTTACGTAACCAAAGCAGCAGTAATTAAGCGTTGTTGTCCTGAATGTGTGACGTGTTGCTGTGCTGGACCCTTCCTGCTCATTTAGATGGATCCAGGTCTTTGATTACTTTTTCTCTATTCAGGTAAGTGGCCCAATAGACTAGGTTAAAGGTACCAAACAACACAGGGAACATAATACGGGAGATGCGGTCGATTATGCTGACGCTGTTGAAGGTTTTCTTGTTCTGCTCGGGCTTCGTTCCTCCTGTGATCTTGTTGGGCTCGTTCAGAGTGCACTTGGAGATGGTGGGCAGTGTTGAGTCTTTAGTAATGTTGGGTTTGTAGTTTGCCACAGCTACAGCATAGGTGTTCTTCTCCTTCTTGACAGTCGCTTCCTTTTTCTGCAGGTAGATTAAAACAGTTGAAGAAATTTAAAACTGTATGAAAAAAGGTATTTTGCTTATTTATTAACGAATACAAGAAATTGAAAACAATTTCTTTTTTTTTTTTCTTGATTTGACAAAAAAAAAACAGTCTGAATTTAATCTTCTAGTTTAACGGTATAAAACTAGGAGATTCAGTTGCATAACTAAAAAATGGAAACAAAAATAAAGCACTTCTAAGACATTTGCAAAAGGAGCTTTGGTGAGGACACCTCCACACTTAAAATATAAAAAGAGTACACAAATACAGTCACATGGAATTTGATTGCATTTAGGTTCATTATTGTTTTCTTGTATTTTGAAATTGATTTGTCCTAATTAAAGCTCAGCTGTTTAGTTTGGTTATTGAAGAAACAGTGAACAACATGGAGAAATAGAAAAAGGCCTGGAAGTGAGTTTAAAAAGGTCTGAGAAGAATTTTAAATGAATCATACCACTCTCCAGGAAAAAAAAGGTTTGCAAGTAATGGAGATTTAAAACATCTGCCAGCAGGTGTTTTTCAAGAAAGCTCAAACCTATAACAGTCTGCAAGATGTGAAAGCGGCAATATTATGTACTTTCCAGGCATATATTGCTATTTTATACCTTTAGATGTTATAAAAATGCCGTAAATATCTAGAGCCTCTTCAAACATCGCTGAGTAAACAAATGAAATAACACATGACATTTAATGGGATGTCCACAATTTTGTTATATGAATGTACTTACCTTGTCGTTGACAATACTTTTTCCATCCCAAGCCCAGCCTCGCTTGGTGAAGTAGTTAACGGTGGCAAACTCAATGAGAGCAGAAAAGACAAATGCATAGCAGACTGCAATGAACCAGTCCATGGCAGTGGCATAGGCCACTTTTGGCAGAGAGTTACGGGCACTAATGCTCAGGGTCGTCATTGTGAGAACTGTGGTCACTCCTGAAAAGAAACATAAAATTAACTCAGTATTTTATTATATGCAACAAATGCACTCAGAAAATATAGACCCCAAATTCGAACACAGAAGACCCAGAGTGTTTCTAAATTTCTGTGACCAAACACCAGCATATCCATTTTATGTTTCATTCTTACAGTGTATAATGTGTAATGTTTCACAGCTGCAACTTTGTTTCTGTGCTGCTGCCTGTCTTGGCAGGGAAACTTTTGGAAAACAAGATCTTTGATCCTAAGAAGAGTTTAATTCACTAAATAAGGTTTTAAACATATAAACGGCTGATGAAGTCACTGGAATAAGACCCATAACAGACAGACACATCTATACTTTGGGAAATAATTTAGAGGTCAAGTTGGTGGTGTGTCACAGATCAAATTGTCATGCTCCCTGATCTTAAGGTTTATGGTTTCATCAATTTTTGGAAGTTGTCCAGGTTCTGTCAAAAAACCAAAAACAAAACCCTCTCACTACCACCATATTTGGGTGTGAAATGCTCTTTTTTCTGAAATGCTTTCTACATTTTATATCAGATGTGACAGGTTGTATACCTGTCTTGTCAATCCACTGGACATTTTTTCTAAATCTTGGAGGTTTTATTTGTTTACATTTATTGTTTTGGTCAATCATGCTTTTTGCCTAGAAACTCTCAAAGGAAGGTCATTTTTGCATCGAATGACAACACTGACAGTATAATGTTGCTCTGGGTTTTCTTGTATCCACCTGAATGAGTCATTGATGCACTTTTGGAGTTATTTTGATGGACCAATAAAGTCACGCATGATTTCAGAATGAGGACCATTTTATTTTTGTGTAAGACTAGGTTGATTTGTACTGCTTTTTTATATAAAGAAAATGATCATATGAAAACAGATTTTTACTTGCTTTCATTAAAAACTCAGCACTATAACAAAATGATATAAATACACAAACGCATGCACATACGCACACCCCCCCCCCCCACACACACACACACACACACACCCAAGCACGCACACACACACACACCCACACCCACACACACACCCACACACACCCACACACACAGATATTTATATTGGAATGTGGATGTAGTTATCTTAGACAAAGATAAGAACCATTTACTTAAGAGGAATACAATGCCATGAAATTGAATGTTGTGTGCATTTATTTTACAAGTCTAGTTTTCTGTAGTTTACATACATAAAATTTTTAAATATTCAGTGGAAAATTGACATTTCCACAACAGAAGTGAGCTAACACTCAAACCTTTATTTGAATAGTTGGTGTTGAGATTCAGACGACTGCACTGCAGCTGCTGCTGTTCTGCTTTCCTGCTGTGCACACTCTTGTGTAGACCCAGTTGTAGAGGGTTGTAATGTGCTTTCTCTTTCATGTTCACTCTGAACATAACCATGCACATTCAAATTCTTAGGGAGAAATTAAATAGGGGTTAAGCCTCTACATCTCCTTTGCTTTTGATTCACTATCACCAGTATTTGTGAAGCAATACAGACATTAAGGTCTTGAATTAATCTGATTCTGACATTTATTAATTTTTCCACCTTTTTTGATGGTTGGGATCTCCAAAAGTGTTTGCAATCTTTAAATCCTTTATTTCACTTAAATAACAGATTCAAAGTCTCAACTACTCACCAAACACAGTTCTAGCAGGCACTGATTCCCGGTTGAGCCAGAAGGAAACCTGGGATAGGATGACTGTCATGATGCAGGGCAGATATGTCTGGATCACAAAGTATCCAATCTTCCGCTTTAGGTGGAAATGAGCCGTCATCACTGTGTATTCACCTGAGAGTCATAGGAACAGGTTCACTTTACTTAATAATATATTCATGTGAAGAAAAAAGAAAAAAATCATTCAGAGGATAGTTATCATTTACTGATTATCACCTGCTGTTGATATACTTGTATTCACAAGAATACAAACGTATTTGATCTTTACTCTTTGGAGTGTTTACTGCATTTATAACTACGGTTTGCAGAAAACTGACAGGGTTATTTTCTGCCTGCTGAGTTAAATACATATTGGGATTATCTCCAGCCTTCATTCTTCTTGTTTGCTACAACACTTGAAAAGAAGTCGATTTAATCCCATTGAAGGAGAGTGGCTGAAAGAAAACACTTCAGTAACTGTGAAATCTGAAATTGAAAGACCTCCAACGCAAATGAAGACATGGTATGGAGATCACTTCTCCTTCCACCATGTGGTCCACCCACACTGGCTGGTGGATGAGTATATGAAATATTTGGAACATAAATCTGTATGGAAATGAATACCGAGGATGCAATAAATTACGTTACCAAAAACATAACATTTGGATTAAAGAACTTTTCTGAATTGCATTATTTGCATAAAATTGTAGTGTATAAAAGACCAGACCATAAAATATCAGATTTTGAGTTAACATTACGACAGAAACCAATGAAGGAATCACCAGTTTGAGTGTCTTTGATAGTCTTTGTTTATCTGATTAGGTGCCTACCAGTGCTGGATTTAATGGTCTCCTTTCCAACAGTCTGTCCAACCAAGTCATACTGGTTGAGCCTGGACCCATCATTTGCTACATCTACTGACTGGGAGGCGTTTCTTGTCCAGATGTAAGTTACCTCTGTCTTTGTGTAGGCATCTGATGCAGAGATAATAAAAACAGAAACCAATTAGAAATGACTGTGGTGATTAGAAATGACTAATCACCACAGTCATTTCTAATCACCACATCTGAAGACTGAAAATCCATTCATCCATCCATCAATCTGTCTATACATTTTTTTCTATGAGTTTGATTCTGCAGATTTTAACACTTACAGCTGCCAAACTTAAGAGGACATGAATGTGAGTCCATGGGGAAGTCCTCCAGATGCATGGGACACTCAGCTTGAACTGTTAACCTGGCAAAATACATAAATATATTCATATTTTTGGAAGTTTGTGTTGTACATCAGAAGTCATGTATCCTAATGTCACTGGGTATCATAATGAAATTGCAACTGACTGACTGTAAAACAGATTGCAGTGTTATGTAGATATGTAAACTTTTTTACAAAGTATGGTAGAATGATGAGTCCACAAAGATAACTTAATATAGCACTAAAAAAAGTTATGTTTTAACAAGGTGTCATTGTGGAGCCCAAGTGTGAGCTGTTATAAACATCTGCAGTTGCTGAGCAACTTCAGCCATGCAAATTAGGTTGAAGCCATTTGAAGTGAAGCTACAAGCTGATGGGTTGAAGACCTTAAATTAGCTCTATCAGACTGAAAGAACCCAGATCTCTTGCCATCTTTAAGGTCAAGAGATGCCTTTGGCAAACAGATGGAGTCTGTCTGAGCAAACAACCCATACTCATTGGGATACTTCATGCAAGATCAACAAGCAAGATTGTGCTTTTAGTGCATAAAACTATGACTGAGAAAAAAACATTTTGTTAAAATATATTTATGCTTTATGGATCAGAAACTACACCAAAGAGAAGCAAATACTGATGTACATCATCAGATGAGGAGGTATCAGGCTAAAACCAGGACATGTTTTAGTCATTATGAACTAGTTAATATGAACTGTACTTATTAAGTGAAATGTGACAACTTTGGTCCAACAAACTCAGTCATGAAAAGGACAATGACTCTACATACAGTAGAGCAGTAAATCAACAACAGAACAAAAGTTTTAAAGGCAATGAAATACCCCAGTCAAATAATGTAAGTGTAAATACCATGGACTTTCACTAATTTCAATTTGAATACAGTCAAAAATCTGATTTTCTTTCCCGATAAAATTGTGACAGAGATCTAAGATGACAAACAATTCTTGAAAATATTTTGCACAGGAAAGATATCTGTTTCATTGTGCTCTCAAATCTCTCTTAACATTTGGAATTAGTACATTAATGCACCAGGGAAGAATAATTTCAAAACACAAAGAGCAGCAATAAGTGTGACAGTGGTAGGAAACTGACTTTAATGTAGAAGTATCTCACCTCCAGCTCTCTACCAACACTCCATCAAAGACAATTCTACCCTAATGAATCAAGTTAAAGCTTGTAACTTGACATCGGTGTCTTGAAATAGAAAGCCAGGTACCTCATGGTGTAGAGCAGCGTTCCATTTTCCATGATCCTCAGAAGTTTGTTGGGCATGGTCATGTTGTGGGCCACAGATTTCTTGCCATTATGAAAGAATGTGTCAGGGGTCCAAATCTTACTGGCCATCAGATTGTTGAGAGGAAGGGTGTTCATTGGTCCATTGAACTTCAGCCGTTCATCCAACCAGCTTTGACGGAAGAAGACATCCACTGTGTATTCCTGAAAGATGGGCAGAGGCAATTGGGTTTTACTGAGGCACAACATTCTGAGTGACCAACAAATGAAAACCTGCATAATTAAACAGTTTAGCAAAAGTAGCAAAATGTCAAGAAGCCTGACAAACATGCTGGATCTCATTCAGTTTAAACTCAAAGGTTTTTAACTATGTTCCTGAAAACAATGTAACAATTTTTATATTTTTTCAACAGTTATGCAAAAAAGTAAAAAATATATAGTAACGTACAGGTTACATGGAATTTTAAAACCTTTTAGAATTTATAGATGGTCCGCGTTGACCCAAAATAACACCCTTATAATGTTGATAATGTCCTTCCTGTCCAGTTCTGTCATAACTAAGCTTATTGTGAGATCGCAGCTTGACGCCGTGTGACACCTGGGTGGGTCCAGCCACATCTGTCAGTGTCAGATCCAGCTGTTGCCTGCGGCGAGTGCCATTCCAGGTTTACATCAAAATCACAGAGACCTTCCCCTCCATCTAAGTGGAAGCATCTCCAGTTCGCTCTGTTTCCTCTTATTAGTCCACAGGACTTCAGCAGGAACTAACTTTGTTTTCAAATGGGTCCATCGGATCCAGCAGTAACTTTCAGAAACAAACCTTGATACAAAAACTATCCCCACAGTGAGAAGTTTTGGTTGTTTTATGCAGCTTTGAGAGTCTTGATTTTAATATTACCTTAAATTTCTGACTTTTTCTTTCATATGTGGTTGTGTACTACTAGTTCTCCAGTCTGAAATAACACTACAAATGAGGTTTTAATGGAAAAATGAGTTCATATGGTATTACACAGTTGGCAAAGTATCTGTTATCACCAGATAAACAAGATCTTGCCTCTAAATCATCTGCTACCAATTCAAATACTGAAGGCACTTTTTTTCTTCGAGATGACTAAACATGTTCACAGTTGTTCACTGAGATGAAAAAAATATCCCCCAACCACACAGCTCTCCTCTCTTCAGAGTATATATTGTAAGTATACATTTAACATGCATTGTTTTCCGCAAAGCCTTAGCTATGTAATTAGCAGAAGCATCCCTAAGTCACTGAGAAAATGCAGCAATTTCCTGGTTAACTTCCCAAAGCAGCTCTGCATGTCTGCTTTTTGATGAGCTCATATAAACCAGCGAAGACAAACATCCACAAACAATCATGCAGAAAGATCAGCGGGGGAGCATCCAATCTGAAGGATGTGTATCAGAGCGCAACTATCAGAGACACAGAGAGGAAATACACACAGTGGTGGAGTGCAATTATCTGCTGCAATTTTGATGGAGACATGGGCATGTATTAAATATGAGACACTCTTCTTCCTTTGAAGGTGCAGTCTTGAACATAGCCACTTCCATCTTTGTGCTCTGTGTCACTTGAATATTTGAGGAGAACCGGGTGGGCTCGGAGAATGGGCTCAGATTGTAGTGGAAAGCAAAAAGAAAGGCTTTTAAGGCAGGAAGGATGGCTTTTATGCATTTTTATGAAATGGAACTGCAAGGTAGAGGGTCTCCCTGTCTTGAAACCAAAAAACTTTCAGCAGTAGTATCAAATCATGTAATCAGTCAAATCACAAAAAAATATATTTGGAATCACTGCTAGAATCTGAATCTAAGATAGTTCATGTTTTCACTTGTTAAAATGAACCAATTCTCACTTTTCATTTCAGGAAGCCAGTCAAAAATGTTGGGATGAGTGGAACTTTGTGAATGAAATCTGTAGCCCTGAAATTCTAAGTCTCTGACGAGCAAAGATCTCCAGAGGGCCTTGATATACAATACAGAATATTCAAAACAACATTTGAGAAATTTGAATGAAATGCTGCATCAGACTGGAAACTAATCCCGTTGTTTGTGTCAGGCTTAGATGAAACCACGCAGCAGGTTTGCAGCTGGTAAACAGTAATGGCCGGCCATATATCAATATATGACAGATCAGCAGCTGTGTATCAGTGGATGGAGGTGGATGTTCAGATATCATTTTAATAACACACTCTAACCTTTGCCATGTCAACGCTCTTCTGATTGGTTTGGCTGAGTTTCCAATGGCAACAGGACCAGCAGTACAGGCGGCTACCTCTCTCTCTGTCTGTGTTTCAGTCTGGAAGATTTTATCTGAATGTGAATGATCACATCCAAACTGGCTCAGAAAGATTGGCAGGAGATTTATAGCGGATTATTTGAACCAAAAACAGAATTTCTAAACAAACAACAGCTTGTGTTGATTGTTTTAATACGGTTCTCATAAAGGACACAGATACTCTTTATGGACTGCACCTCAGAGACAAGTAACAGTTTACACGAACTGTTAATTAACATGAACTCTTCTTCTTGGGCACACCCTTTAGTTTTATACGTCTAAATCTTTTTGTGAAAATTAAAAGTGAAAAAAAAAATTATGCATTTTATAGTACAATAATAATTTTGAAAGACTTACCATATCTGTGTCAGACACTGGTCCAAAACTGGTCACATAGACATTTGTCTTTACTTCTGTCACTCGGTCTGTAAAGGGAAGACAGTTGAAAATTCTCAGAAAACGAAGTTTCAAAGGTTTTCAATTATCCATTCATCATGCATTCAACAGCTTGACCAGAAACAAACCCTCCAAGATAACACAAAAGTCATAGTCTAAATTGTTCTACAAGTCAACAAAACTCATGTTTGTGTCAGGCAAACTCCCAGGCACCAACGAATACACTTGAAGTAGTAAAGACGTGGGACTGCTCCACAGATAAGGCCAGGATTGTTTCTCCCGAATCTGAGCTAAGACTCAGTGGGACTTTCCTCTTCATTTTCACTGGACTGTTAGTCACTTTTATAAACTTGTGTGGCATTTTACTGCGTCTATACAACCTCTTTAGGAGAAATTTCACTTGCCAAAATTAGATAAATCTTTTAAGGATCACAGCATAAGAAGAGTTTTATTACTGCAATCAGTCCACAGTGGTGCTTAAGGTGACATTAAGACTCCAACTGTCTGAATAAAATCAGATTGATGGTCCAATCACACTGCTTTGATTTTTTTAAAACATAATTGTGTTTTTAGATGTTACGACACGAACAGTCTTTCACAGTTTTTCATTTTCTAGCCAGAATAATGTTATTGTCATACAATGCTTGGTTAAATTATTCATATCCCTAACATTTTACAATAAACATTTATGTATTGTGTTGGGATTGCAGGTAATAAATAAACAGAATGGAGTGGATCATTTTAAACTGGAAGTAAATTCTACATGTTTTTTATTTATTATATATATTTTTTTATTAAATCTTAAATTTGGTGTGCAAATTGAATTTTCAATCTATTCTGTTATACCCCAAGCTAAATCCAGTGTTATCAATTGTCTTTACATGTTACCTACTGGTTGAACTGTTGCCTCCATGCATTAAATCCAATTTTCTTTGCCTTCAGAGAGAAGTCAATGATCCCATTCATCCCTGTTTTTCTGTTTCCAGAAATCAAATCTTAGACATCGAGTCCAATGAGAGAAACTGTTCAAACCAAATGAGTTCAATCATTCCAGGCCCAAAGTCCACCAGCCCCAGTGAATGTGTTTTATTATTTCCAACCCAGATGGATGTTCTCACTGAACAAATTATTCAGATTTGAGATACACAGAAGCGTAGCTCATTACACTCACAGCTGCAGAGAGCCCAATAGGTTCACCTGCAGGCAGATTTATTTTTAAAATGCCGTCTTTAAAGAGCTGACAGAGGCATAAAGGCATTTTCTGACGGTATCACTGATCCTTTCATTGTAGTGCAGAACAGGATGAACATGCACTTCCACCACACAACAGGCATCCTCTCATAATTTACATTTTTGTCTAAAATATAAAAGCTCCTTTTTTTCCCCAGTGACTGACACCAATGGATTCAAAATACTGTTTCTGATACGTATTACAAATTTGATCATAATCTCAGATTATTTGAATATTGAGTGTTGTACTAAGGAGACATTTCTTGAGAGTTAGAAGCAAACTCTGAATCTCTATGAATAATATTGCTCTTATTAAAGCACCACTGAGTGTTCTTCACCATGGGCTTAATCTCAAGTTAACAAAGGCACAAAATCAACTGAAATTGTCGCATCAGAGGTGATATGGTCATGAAAAAAAAAAGAATACATGTTGGGTATTTAAATTTTCTCTGGTGTACACATAGTATTTCTTACCAAGTTGAATTTTGCCAACAAGAGTTTTGTCGCCATTAACATGTCAATGCGTGAGATAGTCTACAAATTTCCAACCGGGTTTAGCCAGAAGATTTGAAATGCATTCCATTAGCTTCACATTACCTGAACTTTTTCATTCTAAAACCAGTTTGATCTGAATTTTGGATTATTGGCCTGTTAAGACACCCAACTGTGAAAGGTTTTCAAATATCATTTATTGATTTTTCACCAGCATTTTTGTGGCAAAGCTTTGTTGATGTTGAACAGCTCAGTTTTTGTCTCATTTGACTGTTAAACTTTTACTTTGGAAGTTTTGTTTGTACTGTTTTAAAAAACACCATGTGGCTCCTTGACAGTGAAACACTATCAATTGACAAGCATGACTGCGGAACCATCGAATGCATAAGCCTCATTTGGGCCACAGAAGAGTCATATTAACTTAAAATGTCTCCAGTTTCCATCTGTGTTGCTTTGATTTGACACTCGCTTCAGTTGCCTGGATCTTACCTCCAAGGCCAGGTCTGAGTCTGTTGTCATACCCATCCAGGAGACTGTCCAGGATTTTGGTGAATGTTGCAATATCTTTGGAGTTCTGGGTTGAATTACCGACTGCTCTCGACCTAAATAGGAGAAACATATTTTATGCATTAGACAGTCTCCTAAGTTTTAACAGGATTTTTTAAATGCCAATTTAACAACCAAACTGTTAAATGTCCTGTTGCTGAAGCTGTTAAAGTGAGAAAAAGCTGGATGTTGGTAAAATAATTTGTTTCGGAATTTGATGTGACCGGTCATGCACCCTTTGACATTTCACCTGCTGAAAGGGCAAATATTTATAAGCTAATAATCTGATGTGAAGAAGTATTTCATATTTTATAAACACGTTGAGCCATGATTTCCTGACTCTCCTAATTAAAATGCAATGCACTCAGAAAAAAAATTCACAAAGGATGGTGTTCTATAAAACATTTATATCTGGCTGTAATTGTTGATGAGGAATTTTACATAAATCCATTAGATATTGATGTTTTTTGTAGTGAAAACGTCAATATCATAGAAAGTGATTTAAAAGAAAGCGAGTTGAGGGAGATTTATTATTCACATGAATTAAAAATAAATATGTTCTAAATCAGCTTAAAGAGGATGTTATTGATTGCAACAGCATGTTCAAGCATACAAAAGTATGAGTATCAATTGTTTCAAGCAAAGCATTGACTTCTGAAGCTGAGGGGAAAATTTTGTTTCACCATGGTGTTTATATTCTAGTGACCTCTAAAGTCTGACTCCAACTGTTCAAACAGATTTTCAACCTTGATCTTCACAGAAAGAATTTCAAATAATTTTAGAAAAGAAGAGGCGTTTAATGTTGCTCTGTAATTAGCAGGAATATCTGCATCAAAGACAAAATGTGAGTTTTTATTACCCTGTCCTTCCTCCTTTTAACATTTTAAGTTGAAATGGAGTCTAACCCCAGAAATAGACTTAACACGGATCTGACTTATTTGTTATTTCTAAAGCAACCCAATTATTTTTCTATCAGGGCAGATGAAGATGCTTTCATCTAAAAGAAAAATAGTCAGAAGCCTTCTCATGATCTGGTCGAGGTGTTCGATCAATATTCTGATTCTATTCATTGTGGAAAGCAGAGCTGGATCTTTGAATAGACCCTTGGTGTTCACCCAGAGTCAATATTTGAAAAAAAATGAACAAATCCTGATTTCATAAGAAGCAAATTAATGTAAATGGGCTCATAAAGTATTATTTAATGAGAGTTAAATGAGTGTATGGCTCAATAAAGCAATGATTGTATTCGCTAGGCAATAATACTTAGGAAAAATGGGGTTATTCTTGTTATCATTTACTCATAATGAATAATATGCTACTTGGATTTGCAAAAGGTTGTTTTTTATTCATATATATATTAGATATAACTAAATTTATACTTCTACACTTTTTTGAAATCATGTTAAACAATGTTGAATTTTAGCAAGACTAACTGAAAGAAAAAGTCACTTCAATGATGAAATAAGTGGAGAGAATTGGGTAGCAGCTGATGCTCTTCACCCCAAATGGATTTCTCAACTTAGTATTCTTCCATCAAACTTAATGTGCCTCCAAGGAAAATGAGCACTAATGCAGTTTATATTTCATCAAAATTTGTGACTCAGAAGAGAGTTATATGATATTCCTTCTGGCGTCATTTTGAATTTTGTTACAATGGTAACTTCATTGGCCAAAATCAAACTCAAAAGCTGGAGCTTTGTCATCACACTTTGGCTTAGAAATGCAGACGAACTTACACACAAGTTTTATTTTCAAAGATGAAGAGTACAGATCAGGAATTTGTAGTTTTGTGATGGAGTTAACCGAAATTTGACAAGTAGCCTTCCTACAAAATGCTGCCCATATGAAACATGGATTCAGATCTTGTCCAGGAGCACAAACTGATGTGAATGACAACTGTCTTAAAGTTACAACATGAGTCTGTGTTAGATTGGGCTGTGCATAGTTTTCTGTAAAAGGCAAGGGTGAGAGGCGTAATTTATATGATTATAAGTATCTAATCATTTCATAATTATGATTTTATAATTATCATTAAATTAATTTCAATGTTGGATTTTCAAGGTATTGGAAATTATTGTTTAGAAATATTTTTTTTATTTTATTTAGAAAATAAATAAATAAATAAACTGTCATCTGATTAAACCAGCTCTATTTCCATACTCTTAATTTCCTGGAAGTTTTGAGATTTAATTCTGCACATCAAATTCTTCCAGCGCTTTTATTAGATTTTCAGTGATTTGAGCTTCATTGTGACGCTTCTCTGAGATTAAAGTCATTTTCTAATAACTCACGGCGCTCTGAGCGCACGGAGAAACTCAAAAAAACAACCATATCCAGCTGTGTAAGAAACCATTGCCTTGCTATAACTGAAACGCTCCTGTGCGCAACATGCAGGCAAAAATCCATTCAGATTCATTAAAGACGCTCAATGGGTTATCGTCAGAAACTTGCCGTGTTTGCCACAGAGCGATGAAGCAGACCAGCACAGACAGAGGACGCGAGCTTCTTTCTCTTCTCATGACTGGAGCCTGAAAATAAAATAAAATTTAAAAAAAGAGCGCGTTTAGAAACCCAGCGCAGCTCTGCCAGAAACCGAAAGCCATACCTGAAGCTCGACAGGTGTGCCCGCCGTTGCTAAGGGAAGCCGTGATGCGCGTAGCGGAGATGTGCGGATCGAGGTCTGAAGGCGGTCAGAGAGCTTCCATCCTGCCAGACTCTCCCCCGACCAACCGAAGCTGAAAACGAAAACTGCGCGGGGAGAGAGGCTCCCTGCTGAGGCGGACAAAGTCTGTGCGTGAGAGCGCGCGGCTGCGCACGGTGAGGTGAACATCCTCTGCTCTGACGAAGCCCATTCAGGATGAGGGAAAGCGCTGAAATCCATCTGAGCAAATATCATCAGAACAAAACAGGGCACTACAAATGACTTTAGAAAAAAATAAAATTGATTGTTATTATGAAAAAAGAAACTCGGATTGAACAGGACAGGAGGCTAAAAATCAAACATCCATCACACGTCAGCCTAATATTCTCATGACGGAAGTAACTCCCAACTGTAACTTCTTACTCATCCTGAATTAGTCATATTACCCTCCCCCCCAAACCCCAAACCCCATGGCAAAATGATGACAACGAGGTTACTCATCATACAGATGGATTACATCACCTTTGTCTGGCTATCCTGCAAATGCTGCACTTTAAATAACATAGTATACTCTGATTATTTACTTTTCGCAGAGAGTTGAAATATTTTCTAAAAAATTAAAAATAACACATGTAGATAATGGATGTTCACCTCATAGATGATTTCCGGTCCAAAGAATGATTTGTGTAGTCACATCTACATTTGAAAAATTGTGCAAGGATATTGGATCTTAGCCCAATAAAGCCCTTATGCCATTCTGGCAGTGTGAGATCTTGAAGTTTGCAGCTGCATTTGTAAGCAGATTATGGTTGCATCATGTTGAGAAGGTGTGAAAAAAAGAATACGAGAGCAAGAAGGAAACATAATATGAAAGAGGTCTTCCATGTTACCTTCAGTTCAGTTTACTCAATTAATGACTTGAGTAAATTTTAACATCTATATATAAATGGTATCATATAAATAGGTTTCTGTCTTTCTATAAAGAGGCAATGAATGATCTAGTTGGAAAGGTTCCAGTTTCAGTTTCAAAATACCCCCAGTATGACGCAAACTCGTTTTGACTGCAATCCACTTCTATGAGATAAAAACGGTGAACCTGGGAAAGGTCAAACGCTGTGTCATTTAGATAAAGTCAGTTCTGCATCTGTGGCATTTAATAAAAATATTTAAGGTCATAAACTGGAGCTTCATTTCCAAGGAAACAAAGCACCCTACTCAGTTGTACTGTAGCTGGGTAAAAAAAAAAAAGACAAGACATTAAAGTGATAAATACAACACCCAGAATGATCAGAGACATTCTAATGTTAGGCTGTTTGAGCATTTGCCTTTAGTTTGTCTCCTTATTATCTGTTTTTTATTACTGAGTCCCTAAAAACTGTTTTTGTTAATAGCTCCTCGGTACTTTTGATTAATTCTGCAATTTTGCTGGTTTCCTTTTTTCTCGTCCATTTGAAACAATTGGGATAAGTATTATTCTAGTCACAGCAGTAGGTTTTGGGTTAGGTTTAGATTGTTTTTTAATAGAGCTTGTATTTTTAAAAAAATATCTAAGTTTTTACATCTTAATGTATGTAATGATATCTTAGATTCTGTGTGAGACTGATTTGTCACAAAATACAGCGGAGAACAAGCAAGATTTAAATCTAGATACAACAATAACGGCCTAAAGTGACAGCTTGTAATCAGAGCTGAAAATATCTTGTTTTGTAACGCCATCTTATTTTCAGAATAATGACCAACATGCTTGTGCAATATGTGCAAGAAAATCAGAAAATTTTGGAGCAAACAGGCAAACAAACTCTTCTGCAGAGAGCTCTGCTCACAGATTTTGATGATAACAAAAGTTAATTTGATGATCACTAAATATGTGTGACTCACTTAATATTTAATTGCATTTGAAGAAACTATTGCAGATAAAAATCCAGTCAGCTGACATGTACCCTGACTAAACAAAGTGTATCCCAACTGCAAATCTTTGGGATCAAATACAGAAAAGTGTCTGAAGTCTGGAGATAAACTGTGCTTTAAAACCTGTACACAAATTTTCACCAGAGAACGATTGATCGGTTCAGCCTCATTTCACTACTGATGACTGTTAGCATTCTGAACTACAGATTTCTGGCTTCTCTTGGAGTAAAGCTTTATTTCATGGAGTCACACATTGGATCCAGGCATCAAATGTAAACACTTTATCAAACATACAGTTACAGTGAGCTGACCTGACAAAAGACAGCAAGCACTGGATGTGAAAGTGTTTGAGTGTTGAGTCAGTGATGGAAAAATATCATAGGGAATGTCTTTTGAACTCCCTGTGGTAATAAATTCAGTTTTATTTATAATGAGCAGCTGGGGCTGAAGATGTGATTCCGTTTGACATCATTTTTAATATTTATACTTGCTGTCTACCTCAGCAAAACAGTTTCATTTCATCTTGAACATCTGCATTCCTCACACAGAACTGATGTCTTCATGTTCACCATCAGAGTCTGAATGAGTCATTCAAACAGGAACACAACACACTTGCATTTTTCCATGTTATTCAAGTTATGTTTGGAGTCTGAATGTTCTATAAACTGAGATCGGGTTCACGCAGAATCAAAGCTATATTGACTTTCTGCCATTGTAGCAGGAATTCAATATAGTCTTTGAGACGAAGACTACCTCAAGTTAAAACTTTTCATTCTCTAACATGTAAATGATTCCTTTGTTTAGCTGATAAAAACAAAATGAAAGTAGTTTTGTGATTTATTATTAGTTAATGCCCTTTGTTAATAGATACACTTAATTAATTTGTTCATTTACTTATTTCTTTATAGAACTTAACAATTTTTAATAAATTTTTTATGTACTTGTTTGCTTTTTTGTATTTGTATTTAAACAAAACTATACTTTTCTAAATGTTATGAGTTTATAGTCCATTTTTAATAATTAATTGTCTATAATATTCAATGTTTGCTTATTTTTGTTGTTTATTATATTATCTGCAGTGATGAATGAAAGGATGTTTCTTGTTTCTGTCTTCCACAGGCTCTCTCACTACCACTGAGTCACACAATTACTCTGACCATGTAAACATGTTTGACCTCTGGTAGAGATTTAACCCCTCCTCATCTTTAGAGCCGTGTGCATTTGGTCCACTTTACCCCAAACCAGATGAATTCCTGCTCCTCTGGGATCTGACAGTTCACATTCATGAAAACAAGAGGACCCCAAAGGAGGACAACACAAACAGAGAGAAAGTCAAGAGTTATTTACTGGACAGCATGGAGAAAAATTTAACACTTGAGGCTGAATTACAAACCCAGAAACTGCTTTCTGACTCCTCCATGAGATGAAGGTTAAATTTTTACCCCGTCTTTGATGGCCTTCATCTGCTGCATTAAATTGTGATCCATTAGTTACATTTATGGCGCTGATGAGCTCTGATTCCTCAACACAGCTCATCATCACCGAGCAGCAGACAGATGATTTTCTAGTTATAATCTGTTTATGCAAAGTGGACATTTTAAATGAGCTTTATGTTTTAAAAATGATTCAAACATCATTTAGGCCAGATCACATTTACAGTTTTCCTCAGTCACTTTGGAACATTTGAAATGTTCAAAACTACTTGTTCAATATCATTGTGCCAAAGAGAAGAAAAAGAGGGAGAGGTGTGAGTCTGTGGCGGAGGAATTACAAGGCAAAACTGGATGTTAACTGGACTGAAGCATGATAGTGGGACCTTCCAGAAGCTGTGCAGAAACAAATGTCTGCCAGATTCAATCAATAAGCAATTTCTCTGATAGGTTCTGGTAACATCGAAAATAACAACTACTTGGAGATTTTTCTGCTGTTGGTTGTCTGCAAGCTCCTACACTGTGGTGTGCACTTACTTTTTCTCTATTATTACATTTGTTTAGTTCTGATGTGAATGTTTATCACTTACAAAATAAAAACACATAGGCAGATTTACTTTCATTCTAAAAATCAGTGCGTCTTCTGTGAGCAGCAACACTGACGTCACCTTCAAATGAAAATCCCACAATTTATTTTCTGCCCTTTTTGCTTCCCCTTCACACACACTCTAAATTTTGAACACCTTTTTGCAAAATAAAATCATTTTACATTTGGAGCTGACTCATAAACAACCAAGGTCCATTTTCCACCATGAGGTCCACGATTTTCTTCTTTTCTCTCCTCTTTTACTTTTTCTCTCCCAAACACTTGGATCCCTGCAGATTTTCTGAATGGCACTGCCCTTCGTGTGTGTGCATAGTCATTCTGCAAGTTCTCGATGCTTTTTCTCTTCCACAAACATGTTTATGTAAGAGGAGTTGTCATGGAGATGGATAGATCCAGGACAACATGTTTTTAGCTTTCACATTGTCTCATTTGATCATGCTAGAGTCATGACTGGAATATTTAGTGATTCACCTTTTCTGTGATAGATTTATATGATTTATTCTTGTTTTTAATGCCATTTTCTAAACTATTTGGTTAATCCCCCTATTTATAAAGGGTTGAAAAATATTTAATAGAACACTATTTATAAAACAATTTATATTGGATGAGAATATATATTTGACTCTTTTTCTATTGATTATTTTCTCTTTTTTTCTCAAATACTTGTTAATTATAAGCCTGGTACACTTTGCTTAGCAGAGCTTTTGGGTCGTAGCCTGTTAAACAATTGCTTCCTGAAGGTGTGGACTACATTTTACCCAATTACTAATATTTACCCATGACATTTGCGATGCCAAAAAAAAAAAAAAAACATACAGGAAATTGCCTACACTGTAAACTATCATCCTCCACTGCAAATAGAGCTGATATGTCAGTTCAAAATTTGAAAGAATGGCCAAACCCGGACTGAATGGCTTTGTCCACTTCTTCCGCTGCAATTTCTAAAACTACAGGCAGACTACAGCGGAGAAAATCGACGTCATCGGTCACGTCTTCTCTTACCGTTCGCTGATTGGCCTGGCCTGGAAAATAATCCGAGTCCAGGGGAGAAAGTAGAAATTGCTGGAAGCAATATGTTTTTTGTTTTGTTAGAGCGGAATTGTTCAAGGAGGCAAGTAGATTATGAGTGTCCGTTTTTTTTTTTTTTTGGAGAACATTTGTGACACTTCTAGGATTTTAATGCAAACTCAGAGACGACATGTTTCCAGGTTATTGTTATTACTGTGATGTTTTTCCTTCCTTGGCTATCAGGCTAAGCAGGGAACCTGAATTTATTCACTTCATTAAGCCGCCTGCACACAATGAGCCATCAGACGAGCCTTTTTTGTTTTAATGTCGCGTCAAAGACCTTTGTCTCTTAGAGAAGTGTTTTTATGACAAGACTGTCACGGGTTCAGTTCACAAAACATTGTGTGCAAACAGCTGCCCCTGCTGGACAAAGACAGTTTAACATCCAGAGACATGACGGGTAAAATGTTTCTTTAACACACTGAAGGATTTTTGTTGCTATGTAGACATGCAAGCTACGGCAAATTGAGCGAAATCAATTAATCTTGATAAATGCTATTCATGGTTCGTTCATTCATATCTGCAGAATTTATGAATGAATTTGTCAAAGACTTAATGACTTACAAGGGTAAAGTTTAGGCAAGGTCAGTTAAATAAAATGTAGTTCCATTATTGTTTTTTTCCAAGTAAGAAGTGATTTCGTTGTCCTTGTTTAGATAAATTTAACTCACTGTGTGTAATCCACACAATGCCAATGTTGCGTAAAATCTTAATTCTTTAGATGAATGTGGGTTTTGGGGAAAAAAAAACAACAAGAAAAACAAAAACAAACTTTTTTTAGATAAAACAAACTAACTGAACAAATCTGGAAAACATAATATTTCTATCAATGCAGAAATCTTTTACAAAAAGTGGACAAAATCTGTTAGTTAGCTGTGGTGAGCTACATTTATCACAAGATGGCACCAACAACGCATAAAATTCCACGCATTTATTTCTATCAGCCATGAAAATGTAATCATGTAAAAATTTTGTACATTTCAAGTCAGATGTTTTGAGTTACATTTAAAAATTGCCAGACAAAGTTAAATATTTTAGTAAATCAAGTTTATTTTACTTCTAACAAACTGATTTTAGCTCTAACACATTTTAATTTGCATAAAGTTGGGTATATTTTAAATGATAATAATCTGATTTTTAGGCTCTAAAATTATATAATTCTAAATACAAAACACCAAACAGATTCGATGCTGTCATCTTTGAATTAACAATGATGAAACCACAAGTTGAGTTAGAAAGTTTTAATGAGCTCTTAAAGCCACTTTGAGAGGTCATTAAAACTTACAACACTAATAATGAGTTTATTCAAAAGGCAAAGTGGAAATCAAACATGCAAATAACCCAGCAGCTCATCAGGAGTGCTCTGATTTATCCTGCAACAATCACATGTTGGTTCTTGTGTGGGTGCAGAGAAAATCTGTTGATTGGTAATGATTAGAAATGAACAGAGTGCAGAAAGAAATATAAAAGGGAGAGCAGCAGGAGAATGGCAACAGCAGCTATCCAGGGACGAGGAGGTTCTTTGAGAAATGCTTCCATGCTTCCATGATAATCAAAACTGCTTCATATGTTATTATCACAAAGATAAATAGCAGGAAAAACACCTTAATTTTATATAAATCTATTCTAAAACGTGTAAGTTCTGAATATCAACCATATTGTCTATTAAAGTATTTAACCTACCCGTAAAATCATGAATACCAAACATTTATTTTTTGAAAACAACCTCCATGCACTTTTAACCTTAAATGAACTTAAAAAAACAGCAATCATAAATCCTTATTTATTTTTTCAGCATTTTAGCACCAGAGGCAAGAGGCTCTGACAGTGTTTTGTGGACAGAGAGAGGACTATCAGGAGTTGACAGATGGAGGAAACTCAGCAGCAGAAGGAGGACTGAGTGGTGGAGAGCAAAATGATGAGTAGCAAATGATCTGGTTATGTGGGTGACACGTTGAGGTGACAACTCGGGGTGACACTTCAGGATAACACCTCGAGGTGACATAGCAGGATAACATGGATGAAGAGAAGGAAGAAAAAAAAAGAAGTCTTCAGACTCTGAAGAGACTGCTGCTGTGACACATGCAGAAACAAAATGTTTACGTTTCTCCACTGAGTCTGCGCTTCACCAAATGCTGAGGACTTGAGAAGTGTAGGTGTCTTGTGGGATGATGGAAGGAGATAAATCATCTGCAGAAGAATGCTGTCAAGGAGTTGTATGAACCTTGAGATTTATAAATTTCACCTATGATCAGGAAATATGGATCACGATCAGACGAGTGAGATCACTAAAAGAGATTGATGGATAATTTTTATTTGCCTGGGGATAATTTTGCACCTTCTAGTGGGAGTTAATTCCTGGTTCCTGAAAGAGTTTAATTTAAGTTGGTGCGATGTACACCGTTTTTAGTTCCACTCAACTTTATAACAATATGTTTTTTTTTTGACAGTGTTTTAGCTACAGTTAGAGTTAGAATGAAAATATTTAGAAAATCCAATTTAAAGTCCATTTAAATCTAAACACGGAAAGACTTTTTATTAGTCTGACAAGAATCAAACCGCTTGTGTGTGTGGGTGTGTGTGTGTGTGTGTGTGTGTGTGTGTGTGTGTGTGTGTGTGTTTAGGGGACATAGATATTTTCCACTGACCTTGCTGCAACATGATGGCGGTGAGTGAAACTTTCTTTCATCTCAGCACCAGACACACAAAGCTTCTGCTGCTGCAGCCTGGGAGGCGTGATGCCTGCTGGGTAAGTGCTGTTGTCAGGGCAGCTTCATCTCAGTGTTGGACGCCTCCCTACAGCCAGCAGCAAACCAGACTCCTGCTGCATGGCTTCACTCAGTCATATAAGAGAGCTCTGGCTGCAACGACGCTTGGCTGTGGACACTCCATCGTCCACATGCAAGATATTACTTTGAATCATTTTATTCCTATACTTAGGGAATATTCAGACATTTACAGCAAATGTAATTAATGTGCAGTGATTCTGTCACATTTTGTCCGTTCCAGTGTGTGCCAATTTATGAATAAGAATGTGCTCAATCCACTTGTAATTATAAATCTGTGAACCTAGCATTGGCAATATTACTAATTTCATGCATTTGAAAATGACTCCTTCAAATTGGCATGGCATTGTCAGTGAAATATTTCCCAACAAGTTGTGAAATTCTTTAAAAACGCAAAAAGAAATCAGGGTGATGCTTTAGTCTGTCCTGGTGAAGAGGCAGCTGCATTGTGTGAGCTGAAAAGTGATAATGTGAATTGACTGGTTCATCAACCCATCCCCAGGTTAAAACTCCAAATTTTCCAAAAAATTTGCTGAAATCTGGCCTTGATTTTATAAACCCAGTTGTGTGTTGTATTAGATGCATCTTTACCAATGCTTCACATGCAGTTGGTATTGCCCCAGTACATAAGGAAAATATATATATATATTTTTTAATCACTGGTTCTTCAGTGCAGCAATTTCTGTATTCACCTTTTTTATTATTAAATTAGATATTTTTTATTTTCAGTTACTCATTTCAAATTTCCTGCTGCTAGTTTTGCTTCCTGCTGCTTGCAGGTGCTACATATTGTGACTCACCTGGTCTGTATTTCATGAAGATCTTCCTCTTTATAAAGTCTGACTCTTCTCTGCGGTCATGGTTTAGTTTCTGTCTGCAGAATAGTTTTTCTCTGCATGTAGGAGCGCTTATTTAGTAAATTTAATTTCCTCCTTTTCTTCTTCCCTACAGCAAAGTTAATGAGTGAGTTCACCTTTTGCTTTCGCCCTGTTTCCTTCTGTCTTGCTGCATGAGATTTCTGTACATTCAGGCTCTCACTCATCAGTAGGCTAATCAGAAGCAGAACTGGTCTTCAGTTTTCTAACATGCCAGACCATGCAGAGAACTTTAAAGGGTTAGCTAATTAAACTAAAAAAATATCTTTAAATTAATGTTTTGAATAAATATATACAATGATCTATTGAATTAGACAACACACATGAGAACGGATAGCAAACATATAAATTCAAATGTTCCTGCTATGTCTGTCTTCTAAGCTTTGCCGATATTTTACGTTTTCTCCTGATTTTTACTGAGACTCCCTTCCTTTATTCAGTCCCAGTCTCTGTGTGACTAAACTAAAATAAATCATTGATCTCAATTAAACACATTTGTTTCTCACTTATAAATTGAAACTGGCTTATTGTGTCCACTTACATACTCAGATCTAAAGTTTGTCTACCTGTTTATTGTGATATTCACAATAAATATCTCTGAAAATTACAAACTGAGCTGCGAATATTCCCTTTATTCATTTTCAAGGGGCCAATTTTTGAACATCTGTCTCTCACTTTTAGGAGCACCCTTAAGTCTAAAAGTCCAGAGATAAGAAAAAGGAATGAAGAATGTTCTGAAGTATATATATATATGTTTTCTTGTGCGTCTCCACCCCCCCCACCCCCTCCCCTCCTTCTCCCCTTAAAAATGTTGCGGATGTGCTCCTGCTCAAGACTCGGGAAGCTACAAGTAAAATCGGTAATTAATAACCCGATTCCCTGTAAGCTTCCATGGTCAATCAGTCACAGATCAGCGTGCATCAGTCCCTTAGCTAGTTCTGATTAAGTTGCTGTGCATCCCGTCACGCTGCCAGGAGTTGTGCGCAGCTCCCCGGACGTGCTCGCGTCGCGCCGCCGCGCCGCGCCGTCGCACCGCGCTTCCCCCTCCTCTCCTCCCTCCCTCCCTCCTCCCTCCAAAGGTGACCGGGGAGTCGCGCTCCGAGCCCGTTATTTACTGTCCCGAAGTTGAAGCGGAACCTGACGCAGATCAGCTGATGGAGGTTCTCTGCTGGGCGTGCAGCTCCTCTCTCCATCCTTCCCCTCTGCAGGTGAATCGTTCCTCACATGTTCGTCTCTGCCCTGCTGCGCTCTTCTTTGCCCGGGCTTCGTCTTCATCCGAAGTCATGTCCCCCCTGACGCTCAGATGTTGGTGAAAGGACGCGCATGCGTTGATTTATTTTGGAATACTAATTTTGCCTCCTAAGTTGCGTCCCTGCGCGTATCCGATGTGGAAGCCGCTGGCAGCATCAGAGTTGCCAGCGATGTGGATTACAGTCTGCAGCGTGTCTCTGCTCATCACTGTGGTCTGCGGTGCGCAAAGGTGAGATCTGACAGCAGCACCTCTGATTCCACACAGGCCTGAGCTTACTTTAATTCAATCTGAACAGGAAATGCTTTCTCTACTCCTCTCCCAATCTTTTAGCGCAAACGAACCCAGCAACATGTCCTACGTGAAAGCGACTGTTGACAAGTTGCTGAAGGGCTATGACATCCGTCTGCGGCCTGATTTTGGAGGTAAACTGCAGCCGGTTTCCATGTGGGACTCAGCGGGGTTGCTGCGCTGCTTCCTAACGCTCTGCTGTCTCCACAGGAGCCCCGGTGGATGTGGGAATGAGCATAGACATCGCCAGCATTGACATGGTGTCTGAAGTCAACATGGTAAGTTCGTGAGCAGCGGAGGGTGGAAATGTGTGTTTTGCTTTGGTGCAGCGTTGCTCCTGAAGGAACTCCCCTCACCGCCCCCCCAAAAAACACACTCCCCTCCCTCCTTTTCCTCCTCGTCGTCCTCCTCCCGCTTTTCCCTTCAGCACCGTGATGAGATCCGCAATGTGTCAACCCCAATCCGCATGCATCAAGTCCTTCCCCGCGGTGTCACAGCCGGCGGTGGCTGAGAATTAACAAGGCAGGCAGCTGAGAGGCTGCTTAGTGATTCCACGCACGATCTGCGGCCTCAGCGCGGCGTGTGGGACAGAGAAGGTGATCAGAAACACACAGACGAGGTGAGGGGTAAAAAATACGAATCCTTTTTCTGTGCGTGTTCTGCTGGTTTTTAACCCCAGCGCAGTAATTGCATAACGGCTGTCAGACAGCATGCAGCGGGGCTGCGAGTCTGTCTGCAGAATATGATGTGACCACTTCATACAGAGCATGAGTACAGCGCTGCCAAGGTGCACAGAGGCTGAGAGAGTCTGACAAATTCACACGTTTCCCCTCCCCACGCACTCTGGCATAAACACAGTTTGACTGCTGCATGTTTGACTGAATGAAGATGTAACTCAAACACACTCACACACACAGAGGTGAAATGAGGGTGAATTGAACAAAAGTTTGAAGTCAAAGCTGATGGGCTGGTTCATTGAACCTTTCTTCTAGGCTGTACCACTGATATTGACAAAATGACTGGGAAAGGATAAAAGATAAAAGGTGGCAGGCTTTATAGTTTATCTAAACAAACCTGAGGTAACACTACCATGGAAATTTGTGTAAGTGCAAATGCCTTTTGCTTTTTTGCATACTTAGTTTAGTTTTACTTACACTCACCTTCCACAAATGTATGTATGCATCTTAAGCCATCTAGGCGTGATAAAGCAGCCTCACTAAATTTCAAGTCCAATATCTGAACATGAAATTCAATTTGAGCAATTCCAAATTAAGGTGGTTTTGAATCTCATGTATCAACAAAAGTAATGCCACTGATCTACTGATTTGGTGAAAACAAGCCCCTTGTTCTAAGTTATTTACCTCATATATAACCAAGGGCCTGAACCCTTGGCTAATCAGAAATGATTGCTTCCTCTATTGAAGTTTTATCTGTTACTCAACTGCTAACATTTGCCTCTGACATGTAAGGCGCCAGTTGACGCAACGAAAGCTTAATGAAAATTGCCTGCAATTTAAACAACCATTGTCCACCATGAAGTTGAACCAGATGGCTGTTAATGTTATGTTGTGGCGGATACAATGTATATATTTCACACCCGAATGTACACTGACTTCCACAATTTCAATGTTTGGAAGAGTGGCAAATGTGGACTGAATGGCTTTGTTCACTTCCTCCACTGGTTGACAACAGTAAGCCAAAGAACTATGTAAAATGGTTCTAATACTACAACATTGCATGTCACCAGTACATGCAATGTACGGGTGGAACAAAGGGAGCATGATTTCTACAACTGGTATTGCAGTTCCAACTCAATATTGTCAATTGATAAAATCTCTTTTGAAGTATTTTCTAAGTTCTGAGTACAAAGAGCAGTGGATGCTCCAGTAATAACTAGAAGTAACATTATTCTGTCTTTTCTTGATAATAATTAATAGACACAGACAATAAGAACATTGTTAAGGATCTCAAATCCTGCCCTCTGAATAGTTTAAGTTACCTGAGTGGTTTGAAAGAATTAGTAGCTTCAGCAGTTGTGTGTGTACCCTGATATAAGTTCTCAGTATTTTCCATTTTCAGCTTTGAATTCAGAATTCCAAATTAAAGGCAGGAACTGTTGATTGAATTTCCCTCCAAAGTTAAAATGTCTTAGAAAAAGAACTCAAAGCCGCAAACAGCTGCTTCAGGGTTTAATGTGTAAAATTCAGTAATAAACGGTTTATTTGCTCTGCTGCCAGTTTGAGTCTCATTAAATCATCACGCTCACAGTTCTGTCTAACCTTAGTTAGTGAGCATCTTGTTTGAATGCATAAAAAGCAGAGTAATGTGCTATTACTTGTTCATGCTACTAATCGTTGCCAACTCCATCAACACCTTATGCTGATTTTCTGACTTGCAACTGCAAAACTGTTGTGTGATTCACTTCCACAACTGATGCAGACGTGAGACTATGAGTGGTTTTGAACTAAGAGCTCTCACCTTGAAAGCTAGAGTTTTTTATTTCTTGTTTTTGCATAAAACTAGACTGTTTTCAAACCTATAAAGTCCTGGAGAGAAAAAACGGAGCATGGTTTCTACAAGAAGTTAAGGGATGGAGGTTCCCTTTGCTAAACTTTCTCTATCCTTCGTCTGTCCTTCTCTATTAACCCCCTGAGGTTGTGATCCGGCGACCTGCCAGGCTGGTGACAATAGAGACGAACAGTCAAAGCAACCTCATGGAGATAACTTATGTCGGCTGTTAGTCTTCCATGATTCTGCGTCCTGTACCTCAGCTGGAAGTTCTCCTAAACAGGTTTTAACGAGTCTGGAAAGGTGGCTTTATAATCTAATTTTGTCTAATCTGATTTCAGGGTTTTCTTGGATGCATCTCTTTAGATTTTTCTTTTTTTTCCTGGGTATAACCTGTTAAGAGGAGAACCAGGAACTCTTTGAAGGAACTAGAGTGCTGTGAAAATTTGTTTACATACTTCTTCTGTTTGTGGTTCTGTTTAAATTTTAAGATCACCAAGAAAATGTCAGTTTCAAATTTGAGTAAGTCTTGATACAGAAAGTTTTTTGATGCTTTAATTTGTTGAGAGAAAAAAACAAATTAAACCCTATTTGAAAGAGTAATTACACAACCGTTTATGAGAATGACTTCCATCATGCGTTTGAGGTAACTGGCTGTGTGGTTTTTGCATTTTTACAGATTAATTTTGAGCCACTCTTTTTGCAGAAGACTGGAAAGTAAAATTTGACTGCCACACCAAAATTATTATTTTACTTATTTTGCTTGTCTTTTCCTGAGCCTTTCAGAGGTGAACTTTCTGGTATGTTTCAGACCATTGTTCTGAGGCATTACCCAAAAGTAGTTGGGTAATTGGACAATCTCTTTTATGATGTTTTAACTAGACAGTATAAATCATGATTCCATAGCTCACTGAAAACCGTTTCAATTATGAAGACATCAGCAGCTCCTGACCATAATATTAGCTTGAAACACTCACAAGTCTGTTGAGATGTTGAACTCTCACCCAAGGATGCTGTTTTTACCCTGTATCTTTTTTTTAGTTTTTGTTTTTTTATCCTGACACTGCTTGAGATACGGGAGGCCTGTTGTGCTTTAGTTCTGCTTCAGGTATTTTGGTAACAAAAGACTTTTTGCATTTTAACGCACACCAGATCTGTCAATATTTTTCTTCAATTCATGCAAGCTGAAACAGTGATTCATAATTCTTTGCAAGCCTTGATTTACTGCTCATCACTTTGACTCTGGTGCACGAATACATGTTGGAAATGAACTACAGTCAGTTTTAGCTCATGGAGGCTTAAAGAGTCTCAGTGGAGTGTTCTAGCAGCTCCTGTCCGGCCCAGCCATGAAACCATGATTCGTTAATTGTGTGGGCTTCTAACGCTGTTTAAATTCACATTTGCACCTACTAAGGCTGTGATATCACAGTAGTTTCTGCACGTCTAACACCACTGCTGCTGTGCGAGTTAGAACAAACCGTGAGTTACAGAGTGAAACTGAAGTGTTTATCAGAAGATGTTCAGATAGGAAGAGTTGGGTTTAAATCCGATTTTGCTCTTTAACACAAATCTGTTGAAAATGTTCGTACTGGACAGAAATCCAGTTTGTAAACATTGTATTATGCATTGCTACAAAATATGATAGCAGTCTGTATTGAGCTGCATGTGTGTAGTTTTTTTGGAGGAGGGATTCCAATTCTTGTGGCTCAATGAACTAAAAGGACGGAGTTCGGTATTTTTACTTTTTACTTTTTTCCCTTTAGTTGTCTGTTCAGTTTATGACTCAGTAATGTTCAATAGATAAACACACTAAAAAGAAAAAAAAAAGACATGGTGGCTTAGAGCATTGCTGAAGACTGACTGGTTTGGTCTGGATCTGGTTTAGGTTGTTAAGTTTAATTTGTTCCATAATTCAGGAGAAAAACATGTTTCCAACACTTTTTGATGGGTGAGAAGAAATTAGCTCTTTCCACCTGTGTTTACTTTTATGCAGCTTAACTGTGTTTGTTTACTTTAAAACCTAATTTGCTCATGCCATCCTTTTTTCTGTCACAAGTAAGAAGTGACAGAAAAGTGTGCCTTTTTATTCCTCAAACTTCAGATTATTCAAACTTTATTTGTATTTTTTAGATTTTTTTTAGACATATCCTCAATAAAGTAGCATCATTTTCTTTATGAAAACAATCTGTTTTGTCGATATCCTTCAACACTGGAGCTCACAGCCATATAAGGTAGTGCTTTGCTGTTTTAACAGGTATGATTCAAAATGTTTTTTTTAAACAAGTTTTAAGATAATTTTCCCAAGATCAATTTATTTCATTCTTTCATAATTTATTTTTTTTCTGGTTCTAAAATATTGTGATATATCCTCTGTGATGGGAAAAAAAATGAATGTGAAGAAATATGACTTGCCAAATAGCACTTAAAAGCTTTTTTTTTTTTTTTTTTGGCTTCTCATGCACTTATTTGGTAGTTACACATCATCACTTGTCCAGCCGAAGGTCAGCAGGGAAAGAGGTTGAAGGTTCAGTCCCTGGTCTCGCCGTGATTTAACTTTTCTTGGCAGTCTCAGGTTATACATGTCTAAAATTAGAGGTCTAATAATCCTCTAATAAGCTCACTTCACTTTTAGACTTAATATGTCTGGATTTGAGGCTATGTCTGCAGTTAATTCAGATCTGATTTCCACCAGGTAAAACCCAGGAGCTGAGAGATGTTCAGGGAGAATTTGTTTCAGTTTATTCCTTTTTTAGGAAAATGAGTGCAATAC